AATTTTTAAAAATAAAGAATATATATCTGCTAGGTGAAATCCATTTAAATATGTTAATCAAATAAAATCAAATACAATATTTTCATAATAATACTTGCCAGCAAGATTAGCTAATTAAATTAACTGACAGTAACAAACCTAATGTACAGTGAAGAGATTGACAGTCACAATCTGGCTGGTCATTATCAGTACTGATACACAAGCAGCCGGGTCGACATGGATTTCTAATGTCACAAGTTTCAATTGGCATTTCCTGGATACCAACCCCAGTGATAAACCTCACCCGCTCCCAGCCGCACGTGCAGTTGTTGTAAAAAATATTTCTAATTTCTCCTTTGAAAGGAGTTAAAAACAGTATAGAAGGAACACTAAGTAGTTCCATATGGTTGTGGTAAGATTGATTCATGCCTCCTATGAACACATGGCTTAACTTTCCTTGTCCAAACTTCATATCAGAACCATCGATAAGGCCTTTTCCTACTGCTTCATCAACTGTCATGGTGATTTCTAATCGATTTCGTCTGGATAGTTTTGAAATTTTTAACATAAAAATTTCAAAAATCACTTTAAAAAACTTTACATTTGCATTCGTGGATTGAAATAAACAGAATTTTATTTTGTATGTAAGTCAGAAAAGTTATTTAAAGTATAGGAAACTAACACATAAGTCACTTTATGCCAGTTACCATCATTGAGATTCTTACCAACAATGACATTTGTGCTGCTATCATATAAATCATCCAGCCTTGTACTCATTCTTATTGTTCCATTCTCCAATGTTACCTTCATAATTGTATTTATTTATTCATTTAGTGAAAAATTTGTCTAAAAATTAGTTCAAAAAGTAATTTTATAAAATTTTTAATCAAATGAAGACAAGAAAAACATAAAGAACATTATATTTTGATCATTTGATAAAACTGATTTATAATGAAATAATACTTTGCAAAACAAAAAATTTAGAAAGACTTTAATTAGTTTAATTTAATAATATAAATAAAAAATTTACCTGAACATAATCAGTGAGACCAATATCATCATTATACCACAGAGTAACTTTGTGAGGAATTTTTTTATGGCGATTAGTTTTGAATTCAAATGAAAATGCCGATTTTTGGTAGCAATTATTCCAAGGCGGATATATGGCAAATGAATTTTCATACTCAGGAAGAAATGTCATGGCCTCGGTGAACAAATTAAAATTCACCGATCCATGGTTAAAAAGTAGAAAGATCAGCAGACAAAATATATTTCTGGCTGCTGACATTTTTGTAAAAATGAATGAATACTATTCTTGCTGATTCCAGTTGTCAGTAGGCCATCCTGTGTGCAGACGAGATTTGTACAATTAGTGAGTAACGCAACTATCGCAACTATCGTCAACGTTGATAATCCAAGTACCTGATTTGATCTATGTTTTTTTTTTAAAATGATTCCTCACCTTTTAAAAATTTATTAATTTTTAATTTATTAAACTTAGTGGTTAATATTAGTATATAAATCAGCGGTAAGTCATTCAGGCATCAAAAGAAACTTTCTTCAACACGAAACTTTTAAAACAGACATTTCAAAATTTAAAATAAAAAAAAATTAAATGGACCAAGTAAAGAAACAAATTTTATTGGGTATATGCCAACCAGATAGAACTATTAATATGGCACACCGATATATGTGTGATTATTGATAAGGAAAATTAAATATATTAATGTGCGTATTTATGTGTAATATGCAGAGAATATAATAACAAATACCGGGTATGCAATACACACCAATGCACGCATTGTTTCAAAAACCTACACACTATTTCATTACAGCACCGCTTGTTCAGGCTTTCGTGGCTCTCGATTGAAAATTTTTACGTACGTGTATGTACGTGAGTGCAATAGATATAGAATAGAAATATATGTACACATGGCATATAACACATTTCATATAAATATATATCCTACATACATACATTCAACATTCATCACATTTAATCATTCATTTATATGTGTTTGTAGTTCTATGTGTATGTAGTTCTGCATCATATGTATTATATGTTCTATAGTGTGTATGCATTACAATCGCTTTACTTTAATGTTTAAAAATAGTTTCTTCATCTTCGAGCGTGAATAAACTCAATAAACACTACATTTGTATACCATATATAAATAGTTGATTTGTTGTACACGGGAGAGAGTGCGAGAGATTAACTTAATTTAATGCCAATTATATTCCACTTTTTATTAAAGCCCAATCGTATGTTGCGCTTGCTGCCAATAGCAAGCAAAAAAAATTGAAATGCTACAAAGCGGAGAAATATTGAAATGACGATAGCATCTTTGATTCAAATAAACAGGAGCATGTCTTATGAAAAAAATGCAAAAAGAAAATACACAGTAGACAAGTACACATGCAACGACATGACATATATTGTAGGTACGAGTAAGATATGCACCAAACACAAACTCGATATTATGTGAACTGTCGCTACATACATATTCATTGCCTCAACACATAATTACGTACTTAACACACATGTTAATAAACTCGCAAACGTTCATACGCAATCTCATAGGCTTTTGTAGACGTCTTTTTCTACACGTTCCTATAATGTAAACAAACATTATAGTCACACAGGTTTAAATACAATTTGAGTTAAAAAGCAACTAGCTCAAATCCCCAGCTCCAGCTATATTTAACTACGCGAGTTTTTCATTCGTCAGTGAATTTGAAAATTATAATATTAATCACAATATAATTAACGTGTTGTAGAATAGAAATGTTTAAAATGCTAGTTTAGCTAAAACTGAGTGTGCGTGCAAAATGCAATAGATGGTTTTGTGACTATCATAAGAATATTGCATTTCAATTTATAGTTCTATGTGTAAAAGTGTTCTAAGTAAATTTAATATGTAGCTATGTATTATATGCCTGAATAAATGGGATGTTCATTGTATTTAAGTCTATTAAATTTTAGTGATAATGTGTCATTCGTATGATACATATGCATTTATACATTATAAGTGTATGGCGTTAGTTAACTTATATGCGGCGTTATTGTATTGTATATAAAGTATAATGTATAACTGTAAAGTGTACGTATATACACACACACATATGAAAAACAAACACAAACATTTGTTAACGACATGAAGTTTGTACAACGTGAAAAATGAAAATTATGATGCTATTAGAAATTTGATGTTGAAACGATTAATATATTTACAGTGTATTTGAACTAATTTTTTATCAATGCACTTACCCAAATATCTGGAATATACAAATTATGTAATTTATGAAAATATTTTTTAAAATAATTATCTAAAAATATTGAGGTTTACCTATCAAATATGATGCACTAATTTTCTCTCCAGCTTTAATAACTCTTACCGGGAGTGTGCAAAACTCTAATGTCAGTCTCCAACTTATAAAATCATATAGAAGTTCAAATCCATCTACTAAATTATCAACACTTTTTCAGTTAGTTAGACTATTCCTTTGACATAACTCATAGCTGATATTTTATTTTCAGAGCGTTTCACATCAACAACTTATGTGGGTCATTCAATCCTTCAATTTGATTTCTTACGAAAGACTATCGTTTGCAATGAACATTAGGCTTCGAGCTGATTCAGCTTATCTCAAAAATATTTTAACTGTTATTAAAATCACTCAAAACTGTGTCATATACTTCATTAACTTCATTCATAAAACATATAATAAGAATTTTTGAACAAATTATCAATTTTTCCAAAAAACGACCATCATTGTATTACCAATCATATCTTACTTAGAATTCGACAGCATTCAATAGAAATTATTGGCAATTTCTATTCTGAATTTTTCTGACCAACCTAACTAAGGGCTGTTGATCAGAAAAATTTAAAAATTTAAGCGATTTATTTCATCAAAATTATTTAACGGAGATTAAGATAAAAAAAATTTGTTGCATAATTATAACAAAGCATAATGGAAAAATTATCACAGGTTATACACAGGAAAACAAAAAATAACTGAAGTGAAAATTTAACAAAAAGTGATTTTATGTAAAAACAAACGTAAAAATATAAAAATAATATAGTAAAAGAATAGACTAAATGATGTTGACACCGAAGAGTAACTGAAAAAACGCAATGCTTAAATTGTGTAAATAATAATTAAGCAATGATAGAAATCCGCACATCAATGTAGTAACTATCTAGTTTCGTTGGCATAAAATAACATTTAACACTTAAAAACTCTATGTATATAATATACTGTAGCACATTTATAAAAAAAATACATTTACGTGAATATATCTCACTCAAAAATTTCAAACACCAACACACAGGTAAGTAAAATAACAGTACAAGGAAAAGCATAAAACAAATATGCACAAATATATGCATACGTGCTGTAAAGCAATCACAACGATTAAATGTTTTTAACAAATTAAGACATGACCTGATCCATATAGATAAAAAATAGTATAAACTACATAAATATTATATATATATATATATATATATATATATATATATATATATATATATAGATAGATATTTGTGTGTGTGTGAATTACTAATCGCGTTAATAATATCATTTCGCAATTGGACAGATATCATTATGGATGCGATATTAATGCATATAAAAGTATCATCATTAAAATAAAGGTAGTGATGATAAAGAAGGGTCTGAAATTCTATAATGACTGTATATTTGTGTGTCTGTGTGTGCGTTTCATAAAAATTAGAAACCTTAGAAAGATGTTATAGAAATAAAATAGATATAACAATACCATAAATACTTAATAAAGATTGGCAAATACATAAACTTTCCTTTCACCTTATTGTATTGTAATCATATGCAATGATAAAAATTATTTTATTGTCATTACATTAAAATAATGAGTTAATTAAATATATCTAGAATCTTCTACCGACTTAATACTTCTGATTTGCATATAACATTTTCATAATATTATTATTTTATTACAGTAATTTAAATTATACATAGCAAAATATAATATAATATAATTATAATATAAAAATAATATTTTGAAACTGCGTCAGGAAATAAGAGTCAATTCTGAAAACGTTCATTGCGGTAAATAGAAAATTCTGCACAAAAAAAATATGAAAAATATAAAACCTAACAAGAAAGACCATTTACAGAAACAAATAAAACATATATATTGAAAACGATCCGTTTTCACGTACCTTTTAGATAAAAACACAGTAAAAGTGATAAGAACGATAGTACTTTTATCATTATTATCATCATAATCACCATATCATCTTCACCATCATCATATTATATAGAGTAACATAACATAGCATCAATTTATAATTATCTATAATATAATTATTAGTATTATCGTTGTTATTGCTACAACAAAAATAACAAAAACTACAATTCGTTATAAATATTCTTAGTTAACAGAAGTAAATTCATAACGTTACAAACCTATATAATATAAAAACATAAATAATTATACTAAAAATTATTATTTTTTTATCAAAAATATTATACATAAATAATTAATTATTCAATTAATTGTTAAACGAATTTAATAAAGATCTAATTTTTTCTTCATGTCATTTCTCCTCCATTCAGCCAATTCGTAGAAATCTCTTTTATTCATCTTGAATAACTTTTTAAACTCTGCATCTGAGATGTGGCGCTAAATAAATTATTAATCAGTCAGTCAGTCAGTCAGTCAGTCAGACAGTCAGCCAGCCAGCCAGCCAGCCAGCCAGCCAGCCAGCCAGCCAGCCAGCCAGCCAGCCAGCCAGCCAGCCAGTCAGCCAGCCAGTCAGTCAGTCAGTCAGTCAGTCAGTCAGTCAGTCAGTCAGTCAGTCAGTCAACCAATCCATCAATCAGTCAGTCAGTCAATCGAAATATAAGATAAAAATTTGTTAACGATGTGTAAACGTTATTCAACAAAATAAAATGAACACTAAACTAATTTATTCATTCACTAACTTCAACAGACTCTCTTTCCACATCAGATGGCATCTTAAAGTTTGAAAACTTTAACTCTTCGTACGGGTAGATCTATCAATAAACAACCAACATTTTTTAAAATCAAACCGCCAGCATAGTTACAACACAGAACATGATAGGAGCATAACTTTTACTAAAAAAACGCAGTTAAAAAAGGTTACATATAAATGTAACATAAATGTTGTAAATAATTAGTAACGCGAATTTTGGAAGTTGGAAAAAATTAATAATTTAAAATATAAAATTAATAGATCATATGAATGTACATTAAGAACTTGCTCCTTCTTAAACAGATCTATGAGTGACGGTTTGATATTGCTCAATGAACTATACACAGAGAAAGCTGGATTAGGTCTTAATCTCTGTGGAAAAATTTTTTTTGAAAATTTTTTACAATCGAGGAGGAATTTTTCATTGAATTATTAAAAAATTTACAATAAGCTCGAGTTATTCAGCAACCTTAAGTCCTGTTATTGGATCGATATCGCCATCTGTAAATTTTTTAAAACGTAAAATTAATTACGCACTATTCAAGACCTTACACCTTATAATGAGCAGTGTTGTTTCAATTTTGAAGCACATTTGAATGTAAAGCAATTAATTTTTGGAATAGTCTAAGACACTAAAATGATAAGTTTAGGTATGCCATTAACGATTAAGTACAATATTTTAAAAGGTTAGTACAGTTCATCATCTTGTTATATAACAGCGGAATAGCGTACTGATACAACTTAATTTGTTACATTTACACAGGCAGCAGTCTTGAAGGTGAATTCATTGAGTAGTCTCAGCTAAAAACTCTTCAAATAAATCATAAACAGTCATTTAGTAAAATCCAACCTTGGACTACATCTTGTGGGTTATTATTTACAATTGAGTCATCTAGCATATTTCCTCCTTCCTTATGTTAATCATCTATAATGGAGATCATCACTTAAAAACTACGAGGCTACACACACGTGTAAAAACGAACCCTAACCCTAAATTTAGCTCAATATCAACTTAAAGGTGATTATTATAAAAAAAGCATATCTCCAAAAAAACCTTTTTTCTCAGGATCATCAACCTTTTCTCCTTTCTCTCCCACACTTGTGGTTATATTTTTTTCAATTTTTGGCTGTGATGAATCAGCGTGAGACACAACTTCAACATCTTCCTCATTTAGTTCAGTTTTTGGTTTCAGTTGAGCGTCAGGCAGTTTGGACAATCGGACTGCTTCTTTGTTACTGATACTCACCACAACACTGTCCATGGCTGGCTTGCAGGCAGCCTTGCTTATAAAGGCTATTTCTGATTCTGTTGAAATATTTTTATCATCTTACATATTCACTATTCCTGGCTCTATCAAATTATTTTCATCATTTTATAATCGTTGATTTAGAATTTTTAAAAATATTGAAAAATAACTAACCCAGATCATGAAGAATAATGCCTGTATGTATTGATTAAGAACCAGCATCATTAAATCATCAAAGTTTAGAATTTTTTTGAAGATAATTTAACTTACTAATAAATGAAAAAAATTAAAAAGAACATTAAAAAACTAAATAAGAATGATAAAAAACATACTAACTAGATTCTAGATGGAAATGCATGAAAAAATACAAATTATTTTTGTATAAATCATTATTATAATAAAATGATATTCATAATAAAATTAGTCAAGTTTATTGGAATTAAAACTTATTATAAATTATTAAAATATATCAAATATAAAACAATATTACAACAATGAAAAAATAATATCATTGAAAAATTAAAAAAAAATTAATCACCTCTTTTTGGTTGCTTTATAAAATCCCTGCCCACTTGGGTGTAGCTGAAATTTTCTGAAACAACATTTCATAAATTAATGTTTGCTTGAATAATAGAATAATAGAATTATAATTGTCGAATAGAAACAAGATTTTGTTAAACGTAAAAAAAAAAATTTTAAATAGCAAACTACCACAAAATGTTGAATTTTGACATATTATTATTTGACATATTAATCTAGATAAAAGTTTTTTTCATCAAAACAGTACCCATCTACTTGATATGATGGATTAAAAATACTTCGAACATAGAAAAACTAGTGAAAGAAATTATTATATATTAAAATTGAAAAAACAGACAGGAGGAAACATTTCATTAATGTAGGCAAACCAGGACGATGGAAATGTCTTGGAGAGGCTTCTGATGCATTGATAGATGCTGCTTTCCTGAATGGAGATGTTGTTTGCTCTAAAAATGACTTCTTGTAAAACTTTCCATAGTCCACATTGCATTCTTGATCTTTCTAATATAAAAATTAAAAGCATTTTGCATAGTTTACTTTCACAGTATATTTAAGCATAACAACCTTAAGTCTTGTGGTGTTTTCTACATAGGATTCTGATTTTCAACAAATAATTAAATTTTTTTAACATCAAAAAACCATACATTAAAATAATAAATATAAAATACCTTGAGCCAATATTGCTTTCTTATCCTTTTCATTAATATTATCATTGCAATGAAAGCATTCTGAACATAGAAACTTGTTATTAAGATATATCACCGTGTTTCCTGGCTCTAATGGTGTACTGTTAATTAGATTTTAAATTATTTTTCATGATGTAATGTCATAATCAAACATAAATTGTAAGAGAGTCACATTGTAAAAGAAATTATTCATAATATTAAAATGTTTAAACAAAATAATAAATTAATAACACCTGCAGGAATAGCAAAAGAAGCAAGCTTTGTGAAAGACTAGATCCAAAGCAGTGAAAACTTCACCATCCGTGAAATTGTTACATAACTGGCAGCGCTTGCCAAATGATTGTTGGTAATCATCGTGGCAATAAAATTTATCTTCATTTTTATAGAAGCCACTTGTAGGGAGTTGAATTCCACAAACTATATAAAATTTTATCATATTGTTAAAAACTCTAATAACATAAAAAATTAATAAACACAATATTAATATAATTTAATTATTAGATTCTAAGATAAAGATATTGTTTTATCTAAAATTCTAATCCCAACCTTGGCACGTGAAACAGTTGGTATGGTAGTATTTGTCATCATATTTAACTGCCTCATCTTTGCATAATTTTTTGCAAACGGAGCAAGCTAATTTACCTGTGGTGAATAATTAATATTAAAATTAAATACTCTTTTTAATTTGCTCATTTTTTTATTTATAAAATACAAAAGTACAACTACAAATGCACTTTTTTAATTTTAAACTAAAAAATGAATGTGTAGTCTGTGTAGTGTAGCGTATCAATTTAGATTTAGACTTAAAAAAACTCAAAATTATTTACCCATAATAATAATTAATTTTTATTGAGTTGATAAGATAAGTAAATCCAACTGACTGAAGATTTTAAAATGTGTTTTGTTTTTGTTAGAATTAATTAAAACCAAAAATGCAACAAGTTTAGTCACAGATTGTTGTAAAATTAATTTGATTATTAAATTTCGTGCATAAACTCAGTTCTAATTGACTTGTTTGTTTGTATCAATAAGCTCTGGCATTAAATTTAAATAAGAGACGGTTTAAGCTACAAACACACAAGACAGCGTAAGACAGACACTACCAGATAAGAGCATTTATTATTATATACATACACTATTATAGAATATACAGTACAATACAATACAGATACCTCAATGTATGTACACTTACACATATACACTTATACAGTATATAAGCATTTAGTACATTCAGACAGACCAGTGCCTAGTTTCATTGATCACAGATGTTTGCGTGCTGTCTGCTTTTAATGCGTGTTGTTATGTAATAGCTGGAATGAAGTGAATTCGATAAAATATTGTAACAAATGACATTACTGCTAAGTGGTCTATACTTATGTGGTGGCCAGTCATCTGTCATTGGACATTATAATTATGTTTAATAAAATTACTCTTCTTAAAAATGATTTTAAATATTTTACGCCCACACGTTACTACTGATCTTTTTTATTACTGAAATTACACCGAACACTTTATTATATTATCATAAGCAAGATGCAATGGATGATATTTTTCCATAATTCGATACAAATGAAAGCCTAGAACAACAGTAAAATTTTAAGGTTTCTAAAAGAAGAAGGTAGCTTAATCAGCCTATAGCAGATTGGAATGGAATAGAACAGAAGGTATTATATTAAATAAATATAAATAAATAAGTTATATATGCCCATATCAAAATAGCACTAAAAGACACCAAAAATCAATCAAACAACAATGTCAATTTTATGATCAGAGAAAATCTTTGTTGGCCATATATAAGTCAAAATTCCTCTTGAAGTTAGAAACAGTATCTGATTCAACAACGCATGTCGGTAAATTGTTCCAAATAGAGATCACTCCGTTAGAAAACGAATACTATCTTGTATTTGTACGGAACTTATGAACATGTATTCTATAGCGATGCCCTCTGGTACGTAGATCCGCATCAAAACACAAAGCTGGTGAGAAATCTCTATCTACCATACCCTTCGCAATGTTGAATGTAGATACATATACATATACTTAATTCGGCAAATATTTATGAATTCCAGTAGTATAAATAGTCATGCTAAATCTGTAAGAACTTCATCCAACTTAAACGATAAACAGACATTGCCATATTGGTTTTGCTGAATGACTAACATTTTCCTAGGTAGTTCAAAAACATTTCTTGGATGCAGTGGCGAAATTCATCAATTTATTCCGAGGTTTGTACATCGCAACATTATACTAAGGGATCAATGAGAATAAAGTGCAGTTTCCACGCTTAATTTATATAAACCTCTCGTTTGCAATTCGTCAAATATTCTCCTAGATACAAATTCGGCTCTATCAAGAAAAACTTAACTCAACAAACCACATGCAAAACGGTTCCAGAACGTGAACAAAATCACAATAATCTGTCCATGAAAATTCATTCATAACTCGCTAACGAAATACGTATCAATCTCGCCACCACAAAATTCAACTTATGGTCATTAAAATTCTAACTATCTGCACTTTTTAATTTGACGAAAAACAAATTTCAATTTTCAATGGCTTTTATTTTTTACATTCAAAAAACCATTTTAGCATTCAATTTCCAATTGAAATGAATAAAACAATAAGTTCTGTTAAATTTCACATCCTCCACTCATCAAGTTTTAATGTTGTTTTCGCCTAAATGAGCAACCTGTGAAAAAATTAAAAATGTAATAAATTAAAAAAGTAATTGAGTCTAAAATATTTATTGTCATTAAGTTTTTTTTATTAATCTGATTACATTACAATAAACCTTGCTTGAAAAAACATAGCTAGTCAAATTTTTTTAGTTCATTGATGAAACCAATAAATTCTATATATAAAACAGATAATCATGATACAACGGAAACCCAAGCACTTGAGTATTTTTAAAGCAACAATTAAGATTGAAACTTCAAAATATTTTCACACAAAAGCAAATGTTGGTCATCTAGTTGGCTATCAAGAAACATAAATGATCTATATTTACCTTCTGTGAGTCTGGCTTTGCCTCCTGTAGGCTGACAGAGTACAGTCGAACAACCAACACATAAAACGACGGTCTGTGCATGACTGAACACGGTCATGATTTTATAACATCCTGTTATGTTTTAATGTACAAAAATGAACGATATCAACTTTGTGTTTTGATATGCAAAAATAATCAACACCTAAAAATGGAATAGTATGATATTCACATAAAATAAACTTCATGGATAGTTAAAATGACTTATAAAATAAGAAATATTGTTTTTACATAGTGAGGAATCCTTATAATTTATATTAAATATATTATAAGATAAGACTAAACTTAAAAAACGCATAGAACACAACTCTTTAAGATGAATTTTCTAATTCTAACCACAATGATAGAACATCTAAAAATATGAAATCAACTTAACTTTATAACTTTTTGCATCTACACTATTAACTTTAAAATCATAGCAAGAGTTAAGCAAAATTCAAAAGAAAGATTTCTGGAGGAATTACTGCAGTGTCGATAATTTATACACTAATTTATACATCCAACAACAATCATCAATGTCAATAAAAATGTTTAAAAAGTGATTGAAGCAGCATCTGTTTGAACAGGCCTTTGGCGGCCGTGCTGACACTTGTTTATCCGGGCGCCTCTGATGCTATGCATAGGGCACTCATAAATGACATTATTATTATTAATGTACTATAAATAAAAAATGCTTTGTATGGCACCTGAAAAGGTTTTTGCTTTATATGCCAATTGCTTTTACATTATATTCAGCATATTAATAACTAATGACAGATTCTTTGATTGAAACTTGACAAACGAAAAAAAATCGGCAAAATCCTAGAACAGTGCCTACAATGTAATTGAAAACACATTATAAATGTGGGAGATATCGATTGCAGGCGGCAATATAAACTAGTATTTATATAAAATAAATTTTTGGACAAAAAGATTGTATACATTTTATTCTCTTTTACCATCTCAAAATTTGTATTTTTTTACATTAAATAATATCAAACAAATGTACTAATAAAAATTATAAAAAATTGAAATTAAGAAAAAAGAAAAATTAAGGTATCATAGTCCCTAGCATATGTTGCATTTCTGTCTAACATGTATAATCATATTTCCAAAAGGCAACTTACCGAATTTTTCTTTCCACATAAATTCAGCCAAATATGTAGCCTTCAAGTCTTTGGATGTCCCATACATATATTTTAATGTACGCTTCAATCTGGCCTACATCGAATCAATATTTTGTGCGCACCCGTGACTGGATCAACAAAATTTACACTGATTCACTGTGATGTGAGTATAACCCAAGTTGTTCAACTGACTGTACGCCCGCCACTCATCAGAGACTATTTTTGTCCCAGGAGTAATCCATTTTTAAATGAGTTGGATTAGAGTTTGTGAGTCTCGTGCCTGTACCTCCTCTGCAAAACATATTTTTGTCCCTCTCTGTATTCCTCCAAACACCCATCCATCTTTATATCTGTTGTTTCTTCCCCTATAATATTTCGCCTTCAGAATTTTAGTTTCATCTATTTCTACAATTGTTCCGGGACCCCCAATCTGTACAAAAATATCAATACAACGGTCTATACAAACATCCCGGCAAAAATTGTACCAGTCCACGACAGTATTTTTATTTACGCCAATCTCCCTTGTTGTCAAATATACAGGCATTTTCCATGCCCAACAATAAAGAATTTGTATCGTTTTTGACATCTCCAATTTACTATTTTTAAAAAATGAATCCTTTCGAATACTTGTCCTCATTTGACAATTTTTTTGGACATCGTCAAATGACTTGGTCAACTTTATTAACTAAATGAATAACCTCGTACATTTCTTCCCTGCAGTTTTCGCAAAACATTTCCCGATGCAACAGTCCATTAAACCTTAACCACTGTCTAGTTATTCCACGATTTCTAGTGAGACGATATAGCTTGTTAAAATTCAAACGATTTATTATTATTGCCTGATTCATTTTACAATAAATCGTCTTTTTCAAAAAAGGAACTACAACGCACGAAAAAAGATGTTTCATTTTGGGCATATTCGAACAGCTATGGCACGCGTAAATCATAACCACTTCAAAATAATAAAAATTGTTTCTGCGGCATTTTTACTAGATTAATGAAAAAAATTTTATTTGTTAATTATTTGGTATTTTCATAATTCCATTTCAATTTTTAATTATTTGATGATATAAATGGCCAATAAGATTTTTTTTTTCATTTTTATTATTTTAATAAAAATTATTTATTTCATTTCATTATTTTAATATAAATAATTTAAAATAAAGTTTGACAGTTCCGTACTTTTTAAAATTTCTTACATTATGTTTTGACATTGTGCTCACAATCTCATTGGTCGTTGTTTATGTGCACTCTTTTTTTTATACATATCTCCCGCATTTATAATGTGTTTTCAATTGCATGGTAGGCACTGTCCTAGGATTTTGCCAAAAAATCATTAAATAGAGCACAAAACCAACCAGGACACTTGACATCCATGAAGTATGAATTAGGGCTCTGGACCAATCGTTTTAGTTTGCATTTTCTCTTTTCTTCCTCTTGAGATGGATGAAGCAAATCTTTTGCGAGCTTCAAAATAAAATTATTAAAAATTTATCTAAAATGAACACGTAAAACGGTAAGCAACGAAATTGTATGAGTTGCCATTAGGTGGGTATAAGAAACACGCGATAGCGTGCGCCACATTTGACAGCGATAAAGTTTTTAAACATTACCAACTAACTAAAAAAAATTTTAGAAAACAGATTATTATACATTTATTGGGCAAAATAAAATATTTGATGAAACTTTTAGCTTAAACTTACAGGCATCTTCAATACTTGGAATAGCTGAGCGTAAAAAGAAAACGGAAGCTTTACATTACAAACACATTGTCTTTTATAATTTAGCGCATAACATTTTATTGCACAACCAATGTGCAATTGTTATTAAATTACAATTGTGATGAAACTGAAAATGTAGCTGTAATTTTAAAAGTTAAAACAATTAAACATTTCAAACATTATTATTTTTATTTAATAAAATTTCAAAATTTTCAACATTGATAATTTTTTTAAATTGATCCTGATTGAAGAATTAAAATAAACTATATAGTTTTTTAATATAAATAAAAAAGGACACAGATTTAAGATTTTCAAAAACTCGGATGGAAAAATAAAGAGCAGATTCTTCAGCAGTAGAGTGGTCAACGCCTGGAACGAGCTAAGCGATGATGCAGTCTCTGCGAATTCACTCAACAGCTTCAAAGCCAAACTCGGACAAATAGGATATTAAGAGATCTAATTAGTAGTGGTTCTTCTGAACCACTTTAAACCCCGTTAATAATAATAATATAACGAGTATTGGTAAGCAAAATTATACTATAAAATTTTAACTATTAAAAATACATATATGTATGTATATAATTATATATATATATATATATATATATAATTATTAATTTTTAGAAAAATTTTAAAAATTCATAAAACCTTAAACATAACGTAAGTAGCTTTCCATACTAGTTTTGTTTTCTTTACCAAATTTCCCAAAAGTACCGGCATGTTATTATGTTGTGTTATCTATCGGTCGACGTTTTTCATTGAGAAGAGTTGACGGCTGAAGATCTATTTATTTTCATATTGAGGTTATTTCTTTAATGTCATTATATTTACCAAAAACAATTTCTCATTGAACTTTCTGTAAAATCAACTAACAACAAAAATGTAATTGTAAAAGCAAAAGAAAAATTTCAATTTCCTTCATTATTCATTTTAAAAATTTTATTTTATTTTATAACATTTTTTGAACAGAAAAAAAGCATTGAGAATATTTTGGCATGGATTTTGATTTAGTCAGTCCACTAGATTTTGATGAGTTGAAGAAAAATCAAAATGCTTGTTTTGAAGTTCCTTTGGGGAATGACGAGGATTCTGAATCAGGTCATTTTAATTGCATTGATTGAAATATTTATTCTCACTGTTGTTTTTTCTTTTCATTTTTTATTATTTGCCTCAATGATTATGTTTAGATAGATAGACAATGCAATAAGCTGTTCATTTATGATGTAATTTTTTTATTTTAATTAAAAATTAAAAAATCAAGAAAAGAAATCAAAAACAACATATCAGAACAAACCACAGCAGCAGTTAAGGGGTCAGGCATTGATGTGTTTGGCCAAGATTTTTATAGAGATGATGATTTGGACCCAGACCTAGCAAATCCTTACAACTATGATGAGATCGCCGACAAGTGTGAAAATCTGACGGAGGATGGTGGCATAAAGAAGTTGTTGATCAAGAGAGGCACTGGACCAATCGTCCCACCCACATCCAATGTCACGAGTCTGTTTCATTTATATATCTGCTTTGTGCTCTTCAAATGTTTTCTGTGTTCTGTTATTTTGGCAGTTTAATGCTTTTGTGTAAAGTCAAAAATATTTAATTTTAATTCAGTTAAATCACTAAAAAATTATAATGAGTTGGATTTTAATGTTTTCCTTGATTAAAATTTTTTTCTCATTTCATTATATTGGTTGTAGCTACAAAATAGACTGCAAATATACAATGCATATTTAATACAGTAAGTGACTTAACAAATGACTATTTGTTAGTTTAGAAGCAACAAAGCTTATTTTTAATTATCAAATTTTATCAATGCATTTTCATTTTTGTAATCCAAAAACCTAATGAACTTTGAAAACATAATTTATCTTCAGTTATGTACAGTGCTTACACGGAATACAGTGATGTACCTTTTGACTTCACAAGGAGGCCCATGCATATGGATATTGGTTTGTTTTGCTCTTTAAACATTTGTGAATTGTTAAAAAAAGTTGCTGATGTTTTTTAATTGTAATTTAACTTATGGCACTCTTATTGTTTGCTTTTTGTGATTTATTTATTAAATTTTGTTTAATTTTCTGTTTTTTTTTTGACAGGTATGACAACACTTGTTGGATTTTCGAAAGCCTTGGAAAGCATGCGCAAGGGTGAAAAAGCCAGTTTCTACATAGCTCCTCAGTATGCCTTCGGCAAGTTAGGCTGTCCCAAGAAAATTCCGCCAAATGCTACATGTGCATTGGAAATTATGTTTTTAAGTTTTTGTTTATCCCTCTCCTGTTACCTGTTTATTCTGAAAATTTTTTAATGTTTTCATGTTTAAATTAATTTTTAATTTTTTTTTATTACTGTTTTTTTGTCTATAATTACGAACCTCCGACAAAATGGAATGTTTTTATTTTTATCTAAATGAGTTTAATTCTATACCTCATTTTCCAATTTTTTGTATTTTAACATACATATAATCACATGATTAAAATTTTTATAAAATAATACAAATGATTAATTATTTAAAAACTAGGCTTGTACATAATCGAGTTGATTGACTATCAAGAGGAAGGTGGTGTGGGTGCCTATTTCGACATTCCTTCTGTTGGTTTATTTTAAAATCTATTGCAATTACCATTTTCCCGTTTTGATACCTCTTGTTTATATTTCTTCTAAATACCTCTTTTACACCTCAGTATATTTTCATTCATTTTGAGTTTGCGCGTAGTTGAGTTTTTTTTTCAAAATGTTACTTATGATTGTACCCAGATTGAGAGACACGATGTTGCATATGAAGTCATGTTCAGTGTCGTCAAGAAGAAAAGAAAGGTTCATACATTCCATCCAATCCATCCACCTATCATGTTTTTCTTACTGTTATCAATTATCCATGAGTGCGTGTGTGTATGAACTTCATGTCTTTGAGTTATCTGTAGTTTGTGCTTGTATTCATGCTGGTTTTCTTTATTAAATATTTATATTTTTCACAAGGACGCTAAGATGAGTTTTGAAAGGAAGGACTATGAGAAAGCCGGGAGAATGTACGTCAAGGTAGCAGGCGTTCATTTGTTGAATTCAATTTAGTGTATTTCGGTTTTTTAATGTCTTGTATGGCTTTGTTGATTTGGTTGAATTTGATTATTCTGATTGCACCACCTGGCTGTTTACTGTCAAATATTTTTAGAACTTTGATACTTTTTGCAAAATATCATTCACGTTAAGCTGATATCATATTTTAACATTATTTTCTAATAACGTTCAAATTTTGTTTCAAACTTATCTTTACAAAAATTGATTTCAGTGTATCTCAGACCTCAGTCAATATGAAGGAACTGATGCTGTAGAGAATGTGCTGGAATACAATCAGGTAGTACATTTTTAATTTTTCAATTTATAATACTTCAAAAGTTTACGTCTAGGTTTAAAATATTTAGCTATTTCAAGTTAGGCTGCTCCTATGGCCAGCTTTTACTTTATTAATCAGCTACTAATCAACGACATTAGTTTGTTTGTAATTCATATCATTGTGGCGTGCGAGGTAGCGTTAAGGTAAAGTGATTAGTACAGCTTTGTCGTTACCTGTTTCAATTTCAAAGAGATCCACGCCTAAAATAGATTGTCGTGCATTTACATCAGCTAATGCGTTGTATTTTTTAAATTTTATATAGGAATTACTCAGGAAAAAAACCAATAAAATAAATCAACAAATTACACGAACAACTAGGTTGCTAATTATAATTGGAAAGGATTCATTCTAATTTGATGTTTCAACATTACTAATTATAAAAAATGTCAATTTGTTTAGATGCTTGTAAGTTTGAACTGCAATGCAGCTCTGTGTTGTCTTAAGATGAATGAGTACATTCCATGCATCAGATTTGCCGACGCTGCTCTGAAACTGAATAATAAATTTGCCAAGGCCCTCTTCATCAAAGGAAAGGTCATTGAGTGAAAAGTTCATTTCTTATAATCATTCATTTTGTAATTTTTGTCTTGATAAAATTTTGTACTTTTTGAATTTCGATATCCTTAAAAGGCCTTGCACAAGTCTGGAGATTTTGAAGGTGCTCTGAAATTGCTTCTGGAGGCCAAGAAGTTGAATCCGAAAAATAAAGACATAAATGAGGAGCTACATTATCTCGATAGGTCCGGTTGATGATACTGACATTGAACGTTCGTTAACACTTGAGATTGCTGTTGTCTCTTTCGTGTGTCTATTTGTATTCTTCCATTTATATTCCATATAAAGATTCCATCCCATCCACGAAATGTTCATTAAAATTTAATTATTTGTTCATTCCAGGTATGTTGAAAAAACAAAAGCTGAAGAGCAGGAATTGTGTAAAAAAATTATGAAAGGCATGAACGTAATAGGGTCCAATACATCCAATATTAAGGACATCAAAAAAGAAGGTAATATATATTTATTAATGGTATACGTTAAATATTTCTATGCTACCATTATGTTATTACATTTTCGCCATTAGATGATGTACGACTAGCAGACGATGTGATGAAAGTATTTGTAGAGAAACTCAAGTGAGACTTTTATACATTACTTCTGTTTACTTAAATCTTTTTCATCTTTTGCTTTTCTATATTTTTTTCATTTTTTTAGAAATCTCCTGGAATCTGATGACATGTCGCGAAAGTTAACTCTAACCTGTGATACATTTGAACCGGCAGAATTGAATGCCATGAGCAAACTGGCTAAATCCATGAATCTCAATGTTCACGGCACTAATAGAGTAAGTTATATAAGCTTCTATGTAATTATAATCTACATAAGCTCATTCGATCTTTTTAATCATTTTATTTCAATTTTTCAGAACAACGAATTAGAGAAGATAGTCATATCAAAGTTGTGATATATGTATCTGACAGTATTTGTGCTAATTTTTTTTTATAGAAGTCTATTCATTTTAAAATTATGTGAGACAAAACCAAAATGTGTTTCGTTATCTTTATTTGCTTCTGTTACATTTTGTTAATGATCAGTCAAATATTGTTTTTTGTTATCAGCCAACATTTACGCCATCTTATTTTTTGCGCAGTAGCAAGATTTTGATCACTTTCATTTCTTTATCTCTTCAGTTTCTTGCCTGTTTGTAAAAAATTTTTGAACAATTATATTTCTTTAATCAACGTTTGGCTGCTTATAATAGTTGCTATTATATAGATATTATTGATTATTCTTATAATCTATTTTTCTATTTCTGCTTAATGTTAATCTGACGCTACTACTATTATCTTTATTTACTTTTTTTCGGAATCAGTCGAAAAATGTTCGGTGTGCAGTTAGATGGAGGTCCAACATCTCCGCCTGTTCCTCACTGCCTTCTTTCTCTTCTTTTTGCCATTCCTACTGTTACAGCTTCTTGATCTTTTTCTGCATTTCTCAGCGCAAAGCTTCTCTTTTGTCTCCTAATTTGAAAAAAATTTCTGTAACATCTAACAAGTATTAAATTTTTATGAAACTTGCCTTGGAATTCATTTTACTTATTTTTTTTATTTTTGTGATAAGCTGTTAACGTTGTTATCGAATGATTCGAAATGACGTCATTCGCAAATATTACTCAAGCAAAGAATAATATGAATATTCACTTTATTTCAAAAAAAATGTTTTGTTCGTGAATTTAGTCATTTTTGTTTTTTTTTTACAATGTAATGATTAGTTTGGTTGAAAAATTCTTAACTCCATCTAAGAGGAAGCGTTTTTTAATTAAACTCGCTATCATATTTTGTTAACAAATGTTAGACAACCGTTCAACTTTTTTGGCAATTTTTTTCATTAAAAATGGTTTTTGACAAAGTATCGAAAAGTACTGAAGTATAATCTTTTAAAAAATTTACAACCACAGCGTCATATAAGTGAAAGAGTTCCAGTTGACAGTGTATGACCGTTGTGCGCCATGGATATGTATAATGATATATGTATAATATATATATTTGATTACAACCGAGATTATACTGACTTAAGAACATAAATGAAATTAACCTGCGGGAAACGTACATTGTGTACATAGATATCTCGACGTAAACAGGATTTTACATCGAGACATATATGATTTTAATACTCATTAAACTTTTTCACACAGGCCTAGCCTTTATCTATCGATCACCTGACTAACCCACTAAGTCATCATCTAGTCTATCAATTTGCCGTTACTTCATTTTATACTCCATCGTCAATTACATTTCTTTTATTTGTCTTATTATTATTTATTTTATTCTAACATATTTTATTTTTCATGTTTTATCATTTCTCTTCCTCACTTTTTGTATTTATTTTCTCACTTATTTGTTTAATTTTGTTTCACTGCCTTGCATGTTGTTACAGTTTCTGCGTCTGTCAGATCCTGATTTTTAAAGAATAATAAAAAAAAAAAAATTGTGAATTGTAGGAGCTGTATATAAAAAATGTAGCGTCACACAATTAGTTTGCACATCTCTGAAATTATTTAATTTTCGACAATTTTTCTTCCAAAAGTTTCTCATTTGTCCGTCAAGTCCAATCTAAAGTTATTAAAAATATTAAATTATGTTTTCGAGTAAAACGGCCGTCTTTGATCGCTTGTTGGGTAAGTTTGTTTTTAAATATTATTATAAATAAATTTTTGTTTGTTTGTTCCCATATCACCTCATGACTATGACCACTGATTTCATCTTTCTTCTTTTCTTTCACCTCTTCAGTCTTTCTTGTGCCTATCACCTGATTTTTTAATTGTAATTGGTACACGAACTGTCTTTTTCATTTCTCTTACCTATTTATAAAAATAAAGTTATTTAAATTTTCTAATTAATTTAAATGTCTTTCATTTCATAAGTATTATATTATAAATAAAAATAAAAAGATGTATGTATAATTTATAATACTATAATTATTATAATATAATTGTATAATTAATAATTGTATATTATTTAGTTTTAGTAATTATATTATATAATTATAATATATATTATAATTATATATATATTTATTTTATTTATATCAGTATTATTTAGTTATTTTACTAAAAAATTCTTTAGTCTAGTGTGTAGTGCTAGTCTTTATTAAAAATGATGAAGAAATTAGTAAAGAGTTTACTAATGATAACTAATGATAATGATAATGAAATAACTAATGATTAATCATTAATTTAATACCTTAGATATTAATGCATGATTAATTGTTAACATATAAACCATTAATGAAATGATTGCAAAGTATATATAAAATTAAATTTAAAAACTATCTACATCCATCTAGCTAGCACAGCTAGTTTCTAGTATCTGGTCATTTATTTTTGTTAAAATATTAAGTTAATTCAGGTGTCCATGCTAAGTCTAAGTATTGACCAAGTTGAGTGCAATCTCATCTTTCTTTTTAATATTTTTTTATTTTCTTGCTATACTATTTAGTATCGAATATAACAATTAACTTAAAATGTTGTAACTTCAATGTTTAAGACAAAGCTACTAGCAAATTGCTGTTGGACCCTGATTGGGACTCAACACTGCAACTGTGTGACAACATCAGACAAGGAGATGTCCAGTTGGTATTTCTTCTTTTTTATTCTGAAAATCAAACTCTGGAAACCATTTCTCCCTGTCAGATTCAATTTTTATTGAAATGTTCAAACTGTTTCAAGAAGTTAAGATATTTTCTATATGTATTTTTGCATGGTATGGTTGATTAGAACGACTTCCATATGCCTTTTAAATTGGTTTTGTCTTACAACTCATTCTGTTTATTAATTTAATTTATTTATTAATTTATTCATTCTTGGAGGATTCAATTATCACCACATAATATCATGTTATTAATTAATATAATCATTACATAGTAATATTAAAATATTATGACTTGAGAATAGCTATTCTTAAATGGCTATATTATTTCAGACCCTCATATGCACTGAATGCAATAAAAAAGAAAATTGAGAATGAGAATCCCCATGTCAGCAAATATGCCCTTCATGTATGTTGTCTAATTATTGTTTGTTTAAAGTTTCATATATTTATTTCTTTAATTATAATTTTACAGTTTATTATATATCATAATATAATTGAAATTTTTTTTATTTCATAATTATTTATTCATTTAAACTTGTTAGAAATAAAAAAAGGTATATAAATTGATGAAAATACAACCAGGTTCTGGAATCAGTTGTTAAGAATTGTGGTTCCATTGTACACATCGAGATGGCCACAAGAGACTTCATGGATTTCTTGAAAGATCAAGCTAGGGTAGGATTTGCACACCTTGATAGAATGAACAAGTTGAAATATTTTGTAATGTATGCTAAAGTATAAATCATTAACATTAAAATCTCTCTGAAAAATTTTATAAATTCAATAGTAGCTAAAACCTGTATAGAATCAATTTTACATCCAACTATATACTTTTTTCTTTAGAAAAGACAAGAGCCAGTGAAAAATAAAATAGTGGAGTTGGTTCAGGTTTGGTCACATGCATTTAGAAATGAACCAAGTTATAAAGTTGTACAAGATGCCTACAATGAAATGAAAAGGGAAGGTATGTAGGCTTGATAAACGAATGGTAAAAACACGCGCGCGCTCGCGCGTGCACACCAAAGTTTCATATATTTATTTGATAGATATTTTCATTCAGTTATTCATCTATTTGTGGGTTTTCATCTAAAATTACAATTAAATAATTTGTTGTGTCAGTTCATTGCAATTGGTTTTATTTAATTAGCAACTCAAATTGATCTTTGAAAGGGTTCGCCTTTCCGACGCTGAAAGAATCAGATGCCATGTTTTTGGCAGAAAAGGCCCCGGAATGGAGGGATGGTGAGTTGTGCCACAGGTGCAGAGCTGCATTCACCACTTTCAACAGGAAGGTTGATCAATTTATTTCGTCCACTCGTTGATTTTTTTTGTGTTCATCATCTACTGAATTTCAAAAATATTTTGTTGAATTATTTATACAAAAATGTTTTTTGATAAAATGTATGATTATGTTGTTATAAAATGTTTGTCTGACAGCATCACTGCAGGGCCTGTGGACAGGTCTTTTGCCAGAAATGTTCCTCCAAGACATCCATCATTCCAAAGTATGGAATCGAGAAGGAAGTGCGAGTTTGTGATTCCTGTTTTGAACAGATCAGCAAGTTAGATATTTGTTTTTACTGGAAATCTTATCCTTTTTTCACACACATAATTTGATTGGACAGTTCAATGTTTATTTTCAATAAATTTTAGTATTTTGTGGTAAATTATTGTGTAATGATAATTTTCAAATTTTTAAAAAATTTCTTTTTTTAAAACCAAGTTTTTTCAATTACGTTAAAAAGGCCTGCTAGTTCAGCAGAGAAGAAAGATGAATTGCCGGCAGAATATCTGTCCAGTCCTCTCTCCAAACAATCACAAGTTCGTTTTTTATTGCTGAAATATTGCTAAAATATTCTTCGGCTGTTGGTTACATTTTACCAAACAACATTTACTAATCTTCAAAACAAATAATAATATAAGTTATTGATTTTTGTTTTTTTGCCATATAAAAGTTTAAATTAAATTTTATAAAAATGTGGTGAAATTACCGTTTGACAGGCTCCACCAAGTCGCACAGAGGCAGAAATTCAAGAGGAGGAGGAACTACAATTGGCACTTGCTCTCTCTCAGAGTGAAGCTGAAGCCAAAGAGGTCAGTGTAAATTTTTATACACTAAAACCACACCCCTAAATCTGATTTCATCTGATGAATTAATGATAAATCTTTAATTACTCTTACCTAAGTTAAACTTTTCTGTTAACCTCATCATCATCTTACCTATATTTTTCCCTTTTTACTTGGTCATATTTCTAAATTAATGTGATGGTAAAAATTATTTTAAAAAGTTGCATTTTAACACACAATTAGAAACAAAAGCAGAGAGCTTCGTATGGTTTCAGTTCCTCGAATGCAGCGAGCACTATGTCATCTTCAAGCAACAAACCTACCGAAAGTCTCTACTCTGTGCCTGTGGTTTGTACTCATTTTGTGTGTTTGTTTTTCTGCTTTGCCAGCTAACTGCATGTTTTTATTATCTGACCAACCAACTAGCTGATTGTTATCTTCCTTTGCTCACTGTATTGTTTTATTTCATTATATAGTTCCTTAAAGCTTGTTGTTTTGCAACATTGGTTAAATTTTTATTTTTTAAACTCTGAATTTTTATAACCAGACCCTTCTAGTTAATTTTTTCACTGAAAAACTTCTTGTGTGAAAGTTCTATAGGAAGATTGCATTACTTCTTGCAAATCAATGTAAAAAAAACTGAAATTAAACACAGAAACAGTCGCAACAGCAGCCACAACAGCAACCAGTGATGGATACCAGTGACATGGACCCTGAACTTGCTCGTTACCTCAATCGCAACTACTGGCAGCAGAAAAGTTTCGAGATGAAGAATCCGAGCGTGGCCACTAATGTCCCCGTTACTCAGCCATCTGCTCCTCTTGGCTCCATCACTGCAAACAACAAAAAGATTGAAGAAGTTTGTCTGTTTGTTGTTTTTATCTATTTATTAATTCATTTTTTGTCCGTCAGACACAAAGAATGTAACAAAAGTTACAATGTACATAAATAATAAATGAAAATAGTATGTAGACAAATAATTAATTAGTTAATTAATTAAGATTTGCGTTTTGATTTAACACTCAATCAAATGTGTGGTGAGTTATTGTGTGAATTTATAAATCTCTAAACTATAAAATTAATATTTACCATGTTGAATATTGAGTACATTTTGATATGTGACCTTACCAAGAGTTGGGCCCTCATCAGTTGTTTTAATTTTTAGTTTATTTCGCACTTGCCATTTGAAAATTTCACATAGCAGTATGTATTTTAACTGATCTGTGTTATGTCTAAATGATTTTGTATTTGCATTTAATTTGTCATCGGCATCGTTAGCATGCAAATTTTGTTTATCCCACCGTTGAATCATTCTGCTTTGAGAAGAGAGGATATCTCACTATATTTATTTTAAAATAACTGGCCAGTAAACTAAACAAATTGTTATTTGGAATTTTTATAACTAATTTAATTTATCAAATGACCTTTTTCTATTTTTTTTACATAAAATCCATTTTAATGTTTCCATTTATACTAATTAATCAGTTAAATAGACTTACATGCTAATATTTTATAATTTTTTACATGCTAATATTTTATAATTTAAAATCTTTTTGTTAGAATGGCTTGAGTGAAGCAGCAGTAGCAGCGGTGAACAACGCTGATGAACAACAGAAAGGAGAGGACGAAGAGGAGAGGGAACAGTTTTTGAAGGCATTGAGTAGCAGCATTGAAATATTTGTCAACCGAATGAAGAGTAATTCACAGAGAGGTGAGTGCGATTTGTGTGTGCGTGTGTGTGAGTGGGAGAGAGAGAGAGATATTGCTTGCTTTTTTATCCACATTAGCTTTTGTTTTGAACTCTTTCCTTTCTTCAATCAATCATCATCTAAAATGTTCTTAAATGCCAATGAAATGAGATAATTTTAGCTTGTTGATAGCCTACATACCACTTGTTAAATGAGGCAGATGTTAATTTGTATGCTTAAAGATAAAATTATTTGTGGTTTTTCAATTGTATTTGAATTGACATTTAGTGGATGAAGCATTTACATAGACGAGTTTAACGTTGCCAGGTAGGAATATAACAAATGATTCATCGGTGCAAACACTGTTCATGACATTGAATGCCATGCATCCAACATTACTCAAGTACATCTCACAGCAGGAGGATAACAGAGGTTAGTGCTATTGAATTTAAAAATATATTGTATTGTATTTTATTGTATTGTATTGAATTGTTTATAAGTATAGCACTTTTCATGAGTTGACTTCAACATTTTGACAGAGGTACAGCAATAATCTTTACTTTTTTAATTGGAAAATTAGCATACTTTCTGTAAATGTAGATCAAAATTACAGATGATGATGATCGTATTATTCGTTAAATAGTCTGTACAAGACTGCAATCATTCTCTCATCATCAGCTCATTATGAGTCCCTGCAAGATAAGCTGTCACAGTTGAAGGATGCTCGAGATGCTCTCGACGTCCTGCGGGAGGAGCACAGAGAGAAGACGAGGCGCAAGCAGGAGGAGATGGAGAGGCTGCGACAGATACAACTGGCTCAAAAACTTGAGATCCTCAGACAGAAGAAGCAGGTCAGTACATTTTTTTTGCGTAGTGATTTATAAAATTTTAATTTCATGCACGAACAAACTAGAAGGGGTTTTAAAAGAAATATGATTTGTAAATTTACATAAGATTGATATTTACGATTTGTATCCACACATTAAGTTATGATAACTTGCCGGCAGGTGTACCTGGAGTACCAACGACAGATGGCCCTGCAGAGGATGCATGAGCAGGAACTGGAGATGAGGAAGAGGTTGGAAATGCAGAAGCAGGAACAACAGATGAAGGCCATGCAGTACGGCTTCCCACAGGTCTGTCTGATCATTTGATTACTAGGCATTATTAAAATTATATAAATTTGTTATAAAACATTCAAGATTCAAAAATTAAATTTTCATCACTTATAATTTGTATCAACGTATTTAAAATGTTTAGTTATTTTTTTTATTAATAAACATTCAACAGGGTTATGCAGCTCAAACAATGCCACCTCAGCCAATGATGTACCAGCAAATTCCTGGACAAGTTCCATATGCTGTCAATCAAATGCAAGTCCCACCCACTCAAGCACAGCAGCAGCAGCAACAACAACCTTATCTTAATAATGCTTATGTTCAACCAGGCGTGGCGCACCCACAACCACAGCAACCAAATGTTGCAGGATACCAGCCACAAATGCCGCTACATGAGTACCCTGCTGCTTCAACGCTGCCACAACAACAACCAATTGTTCCTCCTGCTATTGTTAGGCCGGGAATTAATGCAGTTGCAGAGGCACAGCACCAATACGCTCAGCAACCACCCAACATAAATGTCGCCAACGCACAGCTGCCACCCACCTTCCAACAACAACAACAACCCAACGTTGCTGGTTATGTTCCTCAACAGGTCATGCTGAATCAGCAACAGCAGCAACTTGCCTATCAACAACAACCCGGTTAGACTCTTAAGAAATCTTTCTGATGAATTCTTTTCCATATGTTTTATACCGGAAATTGAAAATATTTTCTAGTTGATAAAACAATAATATTGTAAAAAATCAAACCTTAAATGACAAAAGGTATGTTGCAACAAGCAGCACCACAACAAATGGCCGCCTACCCTCTTAACTACTCACAAACTACAAATTCCTTACCTGATCCACAACAGCAAGGTTATTTTCTAATATTCTTCTTCCAGATTATTTAAAAATTAATTATTTGGAGTTTCATTTGTACTATTATTAATAATAGTGTTTTTGTATTTTGTAGTTTCTATTTAATTATCAAAAAGTGTTGTTACGAAATAAAATTACAGGTAACTATTATTCCAATGGACTGGCTCAGCATCGGCCAGGACCAAACGAAGCAGAACTCATCAATTTTGATTGACATTTCAATTACGCCATTCTTTGATTCAATTACAATAACAGGTGATGATGATAAAGTTTTGATGATCGTAATGTCTTGCTTGATTAAATGAATTTTGATGAATCGTTAAATTTATCAAATTTTTTTTTATTAACTTAGTTTTGTTTTAATTTCTGACTTAAGTCGATGAATTGACACATTCATTTCATTTGATACAACGCTAGAATAATTATAAACTGTAATCAAATCTGTCCTCGCTTAAAATCGACATTTTTGTTGTTCACGCAAACGAATATATATTATGTACTAAGGTTTTATATTTTCTTATGAAAACTTGCAAATATAAATTCCCTGCTATATGCACCTAGTCTGTGTGTATCTTGACTATTCTTCGATCGATTCATGCTAATAATATATGTATTTTATGTAAGCGTATTTATGTATATGAACGACTTTAAAAACAGGCATAAAAAAGTCCAATATACGCGTTTTGAACGTCAATAATTTTGTTGGATGAAATGATGTTATTTTAATTTACGTTTCCACAGATATGTTGAATATTACTATATGAATTTCATTATAATTTCATTTAAGAACCTTCGCAATTCGTGCGTTAATCAAGTCAGTTAACGTAGCAGTTAAGTAGATGGAAAAAGAATTTTTTAAACGAACTTATGCAGAAATCTCTTAAAATTTTCCGAATTTTAATTTCTTTGTTGAGAAAAGGAAAAGACGTGTAGTATAGTTTCTATATTTTTCTCACAAAAACGCTTCATAATGTAATATAAATGAAAGTAATTAATTCTCACAAGATACAAATGAATTTTCGTTCGATGAAAATAAATAAAATTTTATATAAAATTAAATAGCATGTAATATTAACTAAAAATAGCTAATGGAAGGTGGCGAAAGCTTCTTTGCATTATATTATTGATAAATCCTTTGGCTTGAAGTATCTATTTCGGACATGCATTAATTTGAGAATCATAAAATAAGATATATTTTGAAGTGGGATGAAGTTATTCTGAAGTGTCATAAAATATATTTATTCACAGGCAAACATTTATGACGAACAAAACAACACTAAACACATTAATGCATACATTTATTTGTAACAATAAAGCACATGCTGATTATGGCCGGATCATACTGGCTTGAACGAGAGTTAAATAGAAGAATGTGAGTGAATGAAGTTTGTGAATAAAGTAACACAGCAGCAGTCATCATCGCAACTTGTCTAACACACTACTTTTGTGTCGTTAGAATTTTTATGTCGCTTGGTAGTTAGTATGTCTTCATTTTGTGTGTTCGATGTTGTTTTGAAAGAATTAGTTTGTGAAATTCAGGCGGGTACGTGTGCAGTGCATATTCATAACGATGTACAAGACTGATCTTATAATGGATATGTATTTCATTGGTAACGTGACTTCATGTAGACATCAATTATAAAATTCAGCAAGACACACAAATTGTTAGATCTTAATACGCACTTTTTTTTACATTTTTACGAGTTTTATATAGTAGAGTTACATATTGTATTGTATAGTATAGATATTATATATTGTTAATGATTTTCTTAACACTAGATATGTAAAATTTATACTAGATATGCTTAGAGGGGAAACTTATTTTTATTTTGATTGCTATTGGAAAAATAGGCTTATTCGATTCTCTCCAGTTGTCAGCGTTCACCGACTTGTCTATGTGATATAAATAACAACCGCTATCGCATTTAATTGAGATCAGAGTACAGAAATCCATGTGTAGGAATGCATAAACATAAGCAAGTGTGTGTGTGTGTGTGTGTGTGTGTGTGTGCGAGAGCGTGAACGCATTTATACACGTGTGATATTTAAATCCAAACATAAATTTCAACAAATTGCACATGCTATATCCAAGCTAGCTGTTAGCTTATGTTTTTCATTATACAAATATCTGTTTATTCTAAGTATATGTCTCATATATATATATATGATGTATATAATATATATATATATCTCAATATGTATGTATGTATGTATATATATATATATATATATATATATATATATGCATATAGAAGTATGCATCTGTATTTGTATGACACTGTATAACGTTATTTTAACAACGTTATTATTCTATATATGTGGCCTAAGCATAATTCGTTAGTGTATTTAGATTTATCCTTTGTTGACACAATTTATTTCTGTACTGTTTGTAACAATTTTGACTTTCTTTATAGAAAGTTTCATAAATCGCACGGACAAAAAATTTGTTAATGTTTAGAATTGGAAGGTAATGTATATAATTTCACATTAACTTGAACATACCTCCACGCTAGACTCGTCCATCGCCATATTATAATGTTCACACTTGAATTATTATTTTGGTTTAGAGGTTAGGACGACCGATGTTGTGCGTTAATTTAATCTTTTAATTCTTCAGATAATTTCATAATTAATTGAACGAAAATGATGAAAGCTTCAAGTGTCTTCCTAATCATCATTCCGATCCTGGCTTGCCTCGTTGCTTTTTTTGCTTCTGGTCAGTACAAAACAAGCAAATGCAAAATAAATTTGACTAGTGTCTTAATTTTAATTTTGATTGGTTATTTAATTTCATTAGAGGCCAAGATTAATTAAACAATTTTATAATATTTTACTCTTATTTTTAATGTTGAATAATGCGTTGTTTATAATTTTTCTTTTTTTTGCTTACAAATATTCTTCTTATCAGGTATTTAGTTTCTTTTTTAAACCAAAATACTCTGTTATCTATTCTATTCTATTCCTTCCATATGTTAGGCAATAAATTAATTTTAATTTTTTCGCAATTTAGGAAGCCACGGAATACAATGCTTTGTTTGTATGTCAGGGGACAAATATAATGGGGAGAAATGTGAAAATTTAAAACCAACGGACAGGGATTTTATAGTAAATTGCAGCACTTTGCCCCCAAGAAATAATTATCCATGGGAAAGATGTCGTGTAATGGTTCATGATGGTAAAAGTTTTTATTGTAACTTATACAAATATTATTATGAAATTAGTTACAAATTTTTGACATTAATATGAATAAAGTTTACAATAAATGATGCATAGCTCAGTTGTGCATTGCATTATATATTTAACATTTTAAAACAAGTTTTAACAAACAGTCGAAGGTGAAACCAGGACAGTGCGTTCCTGTGCAACATGGCCGGATAAAAGCAGAGAGAACAGATGTGTTGATAGGACAGGCACAGCAAGAATCAAAGTGAGATTGTGTGAGTGCGACACAGACTTTTGCAATCACATGTCTATGGCTAAAGCATCGATCTTTCTTATTGTCTCCACTCTTGTCATCAGCTTAATTAAATTTTAAATCATGGTGGGTATGAGAAGGCACATGAGTTTTGTATCAGAGTACTGGATTATTGTAGCACTATTTGTGTATAGATCAATTCTCACAATATGAATTATTAATTGGTCCATGGATATTATATCTAAACTGTGGTTATTAACTTTATAGACACAAAGTATTTATATATCTTACATGTGCATATAATTATGCTTAATATAGTTTAATTTATCTACTTTTTTTTTACTTTTTTTTATGTGATTGATGATGTTTGGATTAATAATATTTATGTTTATTAATGATCATAAACAAAAAGAAAACAGAATAAAAATGCTAGGTTATTTACATAATGTTAATACATAAATTAGTGTTGTGCATGCAATTTTGTATTCAAGTTCAAGTTTTTTTTAACAATTTGCAAAAATTTTTATTAGTTTTACATACATTGATCATGTTCTTGTGTGTTACTTTGCGCTTATGTTTCTGTTTTTCAAATATTTTAACTTTTTGTAACATAAACTTGAATATTACTAACGTGATTACGTTTTGAAGTTGGATTTTAATGATGGTAACGATGATAATAATAGTTCATTGCAATTCTACATTTTATTATATGCTTAAATTACGTACACCTTTTTATACCAAACAATTGACATCAACCATTAATGACGAGTTAATTAAGAGACAATGATGTCACATAACGATTGCGTTAATACGTGAAGTTAGCCCCACACGTTATTTGATTATTGCATCATGATATTCAGTCGTTTTTTCTCACTCTAACAACGTCTGTATATGACAAACCTTATCATTCATTCGCAACATATTTACTTTATAATAACTCATTCCTCACAATGGGGAATATTCTCTTCGGCTTACCACGAAATGTTTAAATCGACTTTTAACTCAATTAAATATAGCTATAAAATTGGATATATCAAAATGTTTATAAAAAGCATGGAACCATTTTATCTTTGTTCAGCCGTCAGTTTATCGCGACTAGTGTAGTGGTATTGTGTCTTCATAGATGTGATTTTTTAATCAAAATTGCCGATTCGTAATTTAAGTTTCTTCGATATTCATTTATTTCTTAATTGTTATTTTAAGTATTCATTTAATTTATCGGAAAGTTTTGGCTTACATTTTTTCTTAGAAATATTCAATTCACGTCCATTTGCCATATTCAGTGAATGTGTAAAGTTTTTTGTATTCAATCACGAGTTATCTTCAATCAATAAACACTAACGTTTATGAAGTTATTTTAGAACATTTATTGTTCATGATTCTTGCATAGAATATTGCTTTTCACAGTGGAGATTAAACTTAGGCCGTCAATTAGAATTTTTAATAATATACATACAGTTTTAGAAATGCGTTGATTTTATTCTCGGTGTGAACGTGTTGAATGGACGAACGTTCGTTTAGCATGGGAATGATAAAATCAAAAATTGAAATTCAATACATGTTGTCTTTAAAATATATGGTCATCATCATCAGTGATAACTATAATTTTCCATCTGACCACTTAGATATTACAGAATCAAATAGGTTTTCATTACCTTCAGCCTTTGTTATTTCTTCTATCTCTTCTTTTAACATTCTTTCTTGAGAATTACAGATTAATATGTGACGATTCTTTTTTTTGAAGACCGAAACAGTTTTGACCGTTTAACCTTTTTAAATAACATATCGTCTTGTTATACATTAGGGAGACGGGAGCCGAATGGACCATGTACAGAAAGTCTATTAAATTTAAAAATAATGAAAACGCGAATTTTTAATTTTTTTAAAAAATTTAAATCGTCTTTTGGTTTTCTAGAACCAGATATAAATTTAAATTCATGTCTTTGGAAGCGAATTTAGCTGAATCGCTTTGTTCGAATTTTGAAAAAAAAGAAAATTTTTGTGTATCAACATCAATAAATCGATCAAATCCTGTTAAAATAGAAGTATGCATATCATGGATATATCATATATATCCCTGATATATCATATATATGCATTGTATATTGTGTCTGCGTGTGCGGTAAACAACATGTTTTTTGACGGCAGGTCCTACGTATGCTGCCAGAGTAAGCAAGGTATTTAAACAGCTTCAGCTAAATCAATCAATCAATGATCCTCCATTGTCCATCAAGGGACCGTCGAGGCCGATGGTGTACATCTAAGCAAGCTTTTTACACTTCTTTTTTCTTTCCAAAAACTTTTTCGATTTTCGGCCAGTTTTTTAGTCCTTCAGCTATAAAGGACTTTCATTTAAAAAGTTATTTAACTCACCATCTTATTTTTCAAAAATTTCACCCAAAACACTTTTGTATTTTAAAAGTTTTGATTCATATCTCGACACTATCATGTCATTCATCTTTGCAACCCAAATTAATCACGCCATCATAAAATGCATATTCTTAGGCACTCAAATAAAATTTCTATTTAACAAAAAGCAATTAATTTGTAATTTTATTTTCTATTGCCACTTGAATTATTCAATTTTACTTTTGAAACAAACAAAATTAAACAATTAAGTCAAAGTTTTAATAAATGTGCAAATGCAACAAGTCATTTTTAATCAATTTATCAAATATGTATGTGTTGTCACTGGAGCGTTTAATTGCATCAATCATCATCATCGTTTTTGTCATCCTTGTCGTCGTCATCATCTTTTTCGTCGTCATCATCGTCGTCATCGGCCAGCAACTTTTTTATGGCTTCCTCAGGATTTTTGGACCACATGGCTATTTCTGATTGAGCTTCCATCTCTTCTTTCTCTTCCTCCATTTCCTCTTTTGCCTTTAGCATTCTAGTCAGTGTTCCGATTCGTTTACGACGCATTTTTTTTACTTCCTTGGTCAACTTGTGCACTTGGTCCCATTGCTGATCGGGTCGGTAATTTTCGTTTTTTATGTTGCGCTGAAATTCTAAGAAATCAGTGATTGTTAATGTAAGCTGCACGTGAATTTAATGTGATTTGTTTGTTAAATATCTATTAGACAGGATATTAAGTCCCTATGACAATTCAAAAATTTATGTTGTAAAAATTAGAATTATAACATTAACTTAAAGTATTTTAGTTGAATGACCAACACCTTCTTCATCGATAAACTTCATCATTTTGTAGTAGGCATAGAGGTAAATAATTTTCAATCCGCCAATTAAGCACAAGAGGCATTTGCTACCGATTGAGACTATTTGAACCGTCCAGTTCTGTGGAGGCAAAGCAGACATTTTTGGTGTATAATTGATAAATTTAAATAAAATTATTCACAATTCTATCTTTTATTTAATTAAATGCCTAAATGTGTCTAGCAGCTATAAAAGCATTTGTGCAATGTTTATGAATGATGACGTATTTAAAATGTCATAAGCATAACCTTATTATAACCGTATTGTAAGTACATGATGCCATAACGTTATAAGTCAGGACAATTTTTGTTTTACCTCTACTTTGAAGTCGGTTAAGTTGAGCCGTTAGTAGAATCGTGTTTTTAAAATGGAATAAATGTAATAAATAAATAAAAGCACTTAAAAAATGATTTGAAGATGGGCGATTTTGGCGACGTAACTGAAATAGATGTCGGTGAACCCATAAAAATAGGATGTTTTACCAATTCTAAAAGTCGAGTTTTGAGGCTAGTTCACATTTCAGATACCCATTTGCAGACACCGGAAACCCCAATTCCAGATGGTGATGTTTTAGTTCATTCGGGTGGGTTCTTCAATTTTTATAAAGGAGTCGGATCATTTCTAGAAGAAGTTTCCATTTTAGAAAAATTTTTTGCTTCACAACCTCACAAATATAAAATATTTGTGGCAGGAAACCATGAACAGTCGTTCGTAGGTCAACCCATTGAAAGAATCAGAGCCAGATTGGGAAGTGTGATATACTTACAAGACAATTCTGTTATGATAGAAGGATTAACATTTCATGGATCGCCTTGGACTGGCAAAAGAAAATCTACTGCAGCAGCTTTTGTAACTCCGTTCCCAGAATTGGGTAAATATTGGGTGATGATACCAAAAGAAACTGATGTTCTTATTACACATTGTCCTCCACACAGAGTATTAGATGATAATGGTATTATGGGATGCCCTTTGCTCAGAGAAATAGTTGTAAAAGAAATCAGGTTATACTTCTTTATTGGTTTGCTCTACTAATTTAAATCAATGCTGAGACATTTTAATTAAATAAAATGAATCCTCTAGTTTATTTTGCTGACAAAAATAAAACTTTAAATAAATTAGCATTGTTAATTTTTATTTGAGACACTTTTTGAAATAAAACGTCATTGAACTATAATGTGGGCAGGATATAATTATGATAAGAAAAAATTATAGATGACAACTCATTTTATATTTGGTAAAATTGTGTTTTCAACAGGCCAATGTTACATTTGTTTGGTCACTCTCACCAAGGGACTAGGGTAATTGAAAAGCAAGGAATCTTCATGTCAAATGGTGCTCAGTATGGGAATGAAAGTGCTCACCCTCTTGTCTTTGATATTCATCTATCACCTGATCTACCAAACAAAACAAAACTCTACAAGCCATCAATTTGGAAGGAAGACACAACAGACAGCTCACAAGATGATACCAATGAAAACAAAAAATCATTCAATTGTAATCTTATCTAATCCTAACCTAGTCCTACATTTTTTCTTCAAATAATCATGATATTGTTTTTTTTGAGACATTGTTTTTTTTGAGACATTGTTTTTATCCTGTTTTTTAATTCGAAATAATGTTTTGGAAATTAAAAGTTAAAATCTTTTTTCGGTTGTTGACTTGAAATCTTTATTATAAATAAAACATAGATTGAGACTTTTTCAACAATTAGATTGATCTCGTGTCCTACTAAATACTCAGCAACAAATTAGTGATAATTACAATTAGTAGATCATGTGAGAATTTCCTGGGCCTGCTGTTCAACTAAGGTCTCCATGACGTTAACTTCTTGAAACCATGTTTTCATTCGATCTTGCAAGCCAGTGATCTGTAACAAGTTTTTACATCATCACATAAGCAATCAAATTTGCACAGGAGAGCAAGAATAATCTTTATTTTTCAAGATTTCAATGACTGTAGTGTACTGTGAACACAAAAACAGGAAAAATTTCATTACACAAATTTTGCTACACTGTGTAGACTGCAGTTGAATCAAGTCAGCCAGCAATGGCTTCTTTAAAAGAACGATGCAAAATGTGCTTAAAGTAAGCTGAAATGTACCGTCATAGGAATATAATTTATCTACATACTTGCTGCTTGTCAAGTACTCTTGGTTGAACCCAACTCATGTGTACCTTCTGTTCAACGCCATCAATCAATCCTTCTACCAGCTTCAATGATAGTGCCTTCATCACAAGCAGTTCAACCTAATGATGTTTCAACATCATTAATCAATTAATTAATCATAGCGTGACAAAGAAATAAAATTACATCATGTTTTTGTAGATTCCTTTTAAAAATTTGCTACGGTAGAATATGAATAAATCACGAGCTCACGTCTGCATATAATTCTAAAAGTTAACACTAAGAAAAGCAGATCTCACCTCTTCTATAGGCTTTTTGGTTTCTTTAGATATTTCCTCAAACGTTAGCTGCCTGTGGTTGGCTGGTCTCTTAAAGGTCATCTTTTATGTCAAACATGAAATTTAATGTATCATGAGATTAGTTTGAAAATGAATGTAAAATTAGTAATAATGTGCATTAGAGAATTATTTGATGGCATGAAATTAACTTTTTTTTACAATATTTACTTACATAATAGAAATAAGACCATGACAATGATTAAAGATTGGTGCATTATTAAAAGAAAATGAATTAACTTTGAAAGTTTAAGCTGTAAAAACTTGATTTTTTTGTAAAAAAAAAAATGTATATTTAATGCAGGTACATATGGGTTGTTATCAATAAACCACAACTAGCAATAGTAATAAGATTATAAAAATAGATAAAAATGATTAATTAGTGTAGAACTGATAACCTCCATGAGACATAACAACATTATCTTCTGCAGCATTGAAGAAACATTTGTCTCCAAGTCTTTCTGAATTTTTTTTTACAAAGATTTATTCATAAATAAAGGAAAAAACAATTGAAATTTTCAAACCTTAATTGTATACAAATTTATGATAAATATACAATTCAATAAAAATAAATTAAGTTGTAATAAGAAACACATAATAAATGAGTTTTATGAGAATTTAAATATGAACGAACAATGAAAAATCTAAAGAGAGTGTTGTTGGATGGACAGCATAAAACTAACCTGCTGTTTCCATAGAGGTTGGAGTTCATAGAACTTATTGAGGTCTCCACTGTTGAAGGCATACAAGAGGTCCATCAACCACTTCTGGTTGGTGTTTTGTAGGCAGTTCAAGACAGGATGAGCTAGCTGATGGTCATGAAAATTATTTTGTGATATTTTATTAATTAGTTTATAATAAAATGACTAAATACAGATTTAGTTCTCAGTAATTTATCATAATTATTTAACATAAAGATGAAATATGTTGTGGTTTTTGCTATTTTTTCATAATCTATCCAAATGCTCTTGATTAACTCAATATTAGCTTCTTGGATTTTTAGCATTTTGGAAAATTATAATTTACTCCATGTAAAATTTATAAAAACGTAATAGGTTAATAGCTCAATCAAAAAATGGTAAAAAACTATTGTTCATCCAACACCACTAACCAACTCGCCAAAATTATAGACATTCTTTCCTAATATTGCTGCCAAACAAAGACTGAAAGCTCTGTCCAAGAGTTCATGATCTGAAAAAAACAAACCATACATGATAATAATGATTGTTATAAGACCATAATAACAATCGTGAAAAGAAATTTAAATCATGTAAAAGAGAGTAACTTGGTATATCTTTGATATCAACACATCCCAGATATCTGAGTGAATCTCTATAGTAGCTGGCATAATCAACAGTCAACTTGTAGTAGCTGCTGGACAACTCATAAAACCTTTGGTGCACTGGTGTCACTCCGTCCAAGTCATTCACTTTTTTGTCTGCTTCTTTTATTATTTTCTAAAAAAAAAGTAACATAATTTATTTAAACTTCTTGAAATATTTTAAAATTATATTTTTAAGTGAGTGTTACTGAGATATATTTATTGGGTATAGAAATATGTGTAAAAAGATAATAAGAATCAGTAAGATGACATTACCTTTGTTTCATCGAGATTATTCAACTGCAAATAAATGTTGCCAATTGCTGTAAGGCATAAAATCAGTGCTTCTTCACTCGATTTTATCTGTCAATGGAAACATATTACATTACAAATTTGAAGTGTAATAACATTGCTAGAAAAATGGTTTGAACATTATAATACTCACATTTTCTTTTATTTTTTCTAGAAACTTCAATGCTTCTTGAAAATCTAAATGAAACAAAACAAAATCAAGAAGCAAAAATTTAAATTCAGGTCAGAAAATTTTTTTTTTAAATGTTACCTTTCATCTGTTTAACCACACCAATTACAATTTCCATTAGAGCCAATGGATTGATTCTGTTAATTATTTCAAAAAGATAAAACAAAACATTAGCAAATTATAGCATGATTAATAATAAATTAAAATTACTTTATTACCTATGTTCAAAGTCAATGATGAAGTTTTGATAAAACTGTAATAAAAAAAATTAAAAAATTAATTATCAGTTTCATTGAAATAAAATACTGGAAATACAGATTAAATAAAAGTTTTAATTTAATTTTTTAATGCTTAATTTGGTATTTTAACTTTTTTAACTTTTAGTCTTTAAGTTTAAATAAAGAAGTAGATATTAATACTTCTAAACAAAAACAAATTGTATGTTGTATACAATATAAAATTCAAAACAAATGCGAGCAAAATAAAACAAAAATAAAATAAGTGGTACATTTAATTTTAATTTTCCAGGGAAAAACTGAAACTACAATACATATAGCAAACAAACTTGTATTAAATTATCATTTTCTGAAAAATAAGGATGCTTTGAAAACTGTAAAACTCTCAGTGTTAACTGATGCCACAATCTAAAAAACGAAAAAATATCAGCAATTCTTATATTATTAAATTCAATCTTCATATTAAAATAAAAAAAAAACTAAAATAGGAAAAAATTACACAACAGAAAGAAATTGAAAATGCTTTGTCATTCAGTTAATTATTCAAACAGAACGACAAAAAATAACTTTTTATTGTATAATTCCTCGAGGAGACTCCACTCCTGACACAAATCTGCATGATCCTGACATTTTTTTTGCTGATCGCGAAAATAACCGGCAATATTTCTCGACGCCATCTCAAAATTAAAATTTGCAAAACGATATTAAAAAATTCACAACAAATAACCATAGAACAAAGAAAAACGTTTTTTAAAATGCAGTAATAAATAACATACGAAATATTTTATAGTGATACAAGACTGAGTCAGTGACAGGACTACTCTAAGATGCCAAGTGTGCCAAGTTATTAAACGCTTAATTCAAAAGAGTACAAGTATATGATTACAATACAATGCAACAGATGATACCTCTAGGGATGTTTTAAACAGTTTTCGTTAATAATTTACAGTAAATTGTACGCAAATTAATTTTTACAACGTCAAAGTTCATTTTGACAAAGTCAATATTTCCCTATATATACAGCAAGGAGCACTGATGATGATTCATTCGGAATCGAAATATGGCCTTATTTACAGCATGAATTAGAAAAATAAGTTTATTTTGAATTTTAATAAACTAAACGTTCACCAAAAAACTTTAGTGACAAAAATCGAAAAAACGAACTACAAACATATTAACGCCAAACATTCGGTAGAATTTATAGAATATTGTAAATATCTATATATATATATATATATATATATATATATATATCGAATAAATTCCAGCTAGTTAAATTAGAGGCTGGCGTTAAATGTTAATATAAAATCAATTTTATAAAAAATCATTTGTGGTTATGATCACGATGGCCACTGATTATTTATTCTAACTATAATGCCTGATGACTGCTATTAATATTATATCAACCAAACTTTTGTCATATTGCTTATTTTGTTTCTTTTATAATATTGTAAGCTTCCGGCGTGGATTGTTCAATTTTTTCTTCATTTTTATTTTTTCTTATATTTTAATCGTATTTGTGCGTTTTTAATTAAAGAAAATGTTTAACGGAGATGCTTCAACAAGAACTTTGTTAGTATTTTTTTGATTTTCGATTTAGAAATATATAACACGCGTTTAATTGCTTAAACACGCCAAAGGTCGCAAAAGTAATTTGCCGGATTTGTGATAGCATTGTTAAGATGTGTATGGCTAGTTTGGCGGTAAAGCGGGTTTTTTGGCTAATTTGCCAACTTTTATTCTTTTGCCTAGGATAACACTTTTAACTTAATTTTTGTATATATTTTTGAGGTATTTTATTAAAACTTTCTTGTTTCTAGGTATGTAGGAAATCTGGACCCCATGGTCAGCGAAGATTTACTTATGACGTTATTTGGAACGTTAGGTCAATGCAAAGGATGTAAACTAATTAGAGAAGTTAGTTGTTGAAATCTGGTCATGGAATCTATATGTATTATAATTTTACTTGTTAAGGATTTGAAGTTTACAGATTATTAATTAATTTATTTTCTTTTTTTAATTAAAAGGCTGGCTCGGAGTTGTATGCATTCATTGAGTTCAACACCCATACAGAAGCTCAGATGGCACTTATGGCAATGAACAAAAGAAATGTTCTTGGCAAGGTTGAGTTCTGATTCAACAATGATATTTTAGTTTTCAAATTTAAAGTTTTCTATTTTTTTTAATTATTTTTGAATAAAATTTTAGCCTTTGCACATTCATTCATGCTTTTTCAGGAATTGAAAGTCAATTGGGCAACTCAACCAGGTGGTCAGATTAAACAAGACACTAGCAGTAAATTTTTTTTTCCTGAATTTTTTATGATTAGATGTTTTAATTTGTTTAGTTTTATTTGCAAAAGTCTTAATTGAAAGATTCAGATACAAATTTTAAGATACTTGTGAGATTCTAGTCTGCTGGAAATGTAATTTAAACAGATCCTTAATTTACATTATTAATACATTATTAACTGCTATGCTCAAACTATTGAATAAACTAATGTTTAGTTAAACTACATGAAATTGCACTAATAAATGATTATAGCTGATGCTGTTTCAAACTTTATTCATCAATGTGCCTGCCAATTCTGTTGTTACCTGGCCTTATATGAGTGTCAGTGGAATGATGCTTCATCTATGTTTAATTTTATAACTTAATAAGTTAAGTTGGTTAGAGGGACCTGACCCGTTGCTTAAATTGATTACTTTTATCAAGTTCAGGAGTGGTCTAAGTACCAGGCTTCATTTATACTGAAATTTAGTTTCATGTTTATCTAAAAATATTTTCATCCGTCAGAGCATTTTCATATTTTTGTTGGTGACCTCACTCCTGACATCGAAGCCCCACAGCTTAAAGAGGCTTTTGCTCCATTCGGTGAAATATCGTAAGTTTGTTTTATATTCTCAAAGATAATTTATACTTTTTTTGTTCAATGTTTTTCTATTGTTATTTTTCAAGTTTGATTGTACAAGTCAGGCAATGCTAGTTAAATAAATTAAATATTTTTCAAAGGGATGCCAAAATTATTACTGATCCACAAACTGGCAGGTCTAAAGGATTTGGCTTTGTCTGTTTTGTCAGAAAAGAGGTTCAAACTTATTTTCATTGTTACTTTTAATGTTACTTTGAAAAAGACAAAACTTTATCACAGAAGCAATTTTCAATGGATTTTCATCTTATGTTACTTTTTAATGTACAGTTATTTTTTTAATTCTTCAACATGCATTATTTAACAAGATGGCCTTTTTTTATAAAGATGAATCCATTTCTTTTTTAAAGATTAGGTGGATTGATGTGGTTTAAATTTAATTGTTAAGGATGCGGAGATGGCAATAACAGGCATGAATGGAACGTGGCTGGGCGGTAGAACCATCCGGACCAACTGGGCAACAGGCAAGGGAGTCATGAGCACCAGCATGAGACCACAACAAAGTATGATTTGCAACTTATTGTCAACTGTTACATCTTTTGGACTTGTGTGCTTAACAGATGTTCATCTTTTGCTATAGGCAAACATATGCTTATATTTTTACATTAAAATTAAAGTCATTTCTTGTATGAGTGATATCTGTACTTCAATGTGTTAAATAAATTTTATCCGGAATAGGTCATTACAAAGAATTGAATTATAATGAGGTGCAAAATCAGTCAGGACCCAACAATACTACTGTCTACTGTGGGGGTATTACTTCTGAAACCACAGGTCACTTGGTTATTTTTAAAAATTACTAACTACTTATTGTTGTAAATATGTTTAAATTTTTATTTGTTCTACATCTGTTCTCTAAACAATCACTCAGATTCAATGATGAAAGAAGCGTTTCAATCCTATGGTGAGATAGTTGAAGTGAGAGTGTTCAAAGAGAAAGGATATGCATTTGTGAGGTCAGTGTTTCATATGTTTCATGTGCTTCTAAAAATTAATTTTTTATTTGCGTACTACAATACAATACTTTATTTACTTTTTTATCTTAGATATTCCACAAAGGATGCAGCAGTTCGAGCCATATGTGGTGTTCATGGCACTGACATAAACGGTAGCATTGTCAAGTGCTCTTGGGGTAAGGAACAGGCAGAGTTGCAACAACAAATTGCAAACAGTCAGCAGATGAAAAGTGCATCTCTTGCTGCTGCAACATCTCAAGCTGGGGTATGTTCATATTTGTGGACGTCTGACTTAAAAATGTCTTGTAATGGATGTTAAATTGTTAGACATTTGTGTTTTGCTATTTTAAAATGATACCTGAGATGATACAAAAAATTAAAAATGACAATTGCAGTGCAATGATGAGTTCTTATTCAAGTTCTTATTCAATTTTTTGATGATCTTTTGACAATTTTAGTGACTAGCAGATACAAATACTAACATTTTTTTGAAACTAGATGCCAATAACTTATTTATTTAATGCAATTGTCTATCTACAAATAAGTAAATTATCAGAAAGTGTGCTTGTTGAGTCTTATAAGTAAAAAATTGATAATGTTCAATTATTTGGTGTTCCACGCTTATTGTTAGCTTTCATTTTGGTTGTTTTGAAAGCGCATATAAAAGACCACTTTCAGTTTTCTTGAGCATATTTATCGTTTATTTTGATGCTTGAAAAATAGGCTTGTAGAAGTTTCACTATCATGAATTTTTCATCATGCATCTCCAAGGTGCTTACAAATTTTAACCTACCTATAACCTAGCACCTTATAATATAATATTGTTATAACCGACCCCTTGAACTTGTAGGGTATGGTTATTTCTCTTTATGCGGATTCTTGATTCCTAAACAGACTTATTTTAGATGACTTTATTGCAATTTTATCATTTTAAAACTACAATATGATGAAAGAATTTTTTCATTATGTAATAAAATCTTTATTAATAATAAGAATAACAATATAAGACACTGTAAATTATTTCAAAGTTGATCATTTTTTGTAGGGCTTCTATCCTCCCCCACCTGTCCCAGGCGCATATTGGGGGTACCCGGGTTATCCTACAACTCAAAATGCCTTCATGTCACCATTTGGAATGCAGGGCTACGGAGGGTTAGCTGATAGGATGGCCATACATTAATTATCATTTATTGCTGATTTTTAAAATTCTTCAGCTGAAATTTTACTTAATAGTTATGACATAGCATGCAATAATTAGAATTCGTGGTGATCACCTGCTGGCTGAATAATAAAGCATATATGCTTGTGCACAAACACAGATTTCCACAGGCTTCATCGACGTGGTCTTCGCAGCCTAGCCAGCAGTATGCTCCTGGAACTAATGGGACACAGCAGCCCTCCCAGCAGCAGCAGCAACCACAAGGCAATCCTGGTCAGCAACAACAACAATCATCTTTTTCGTCTGGCATGAGCAACTTGGGAGGCTTAGGTGCCAATGCTTTTGGTCAGACAAGCCAGATGAATGGTCAGTTATACAGTGGTAAACTGTAACTGGACTATTTGCATCATAGCTGAACTATTCAATAGTTTAGTGTGTGTTTCTAATATAAATATATTATATTCAGTTTCGGTTTTTCTTGAAGACATTGATAGTAAATGGTTTTATTATTATTATTTTAATTTATTACTTTTTTATGGTTTTTTTATTAGTAGTATTTATTATTATTATTGTTGTTGTTATTTTCTTTTTAAACATTATATATTCACCTTTTCAGTAATATCTATTTTTAAAATTATTTTATCGTGGTTTGTCGTTTAATTTATGTTAGTATGTAAAATTTGAATAAGCATCAAGTTAGATAATATTATATTTTATGAAGCCAGCAAATTTATTAGTTGAACTGATGAATTTATATTGATTTTTTTTCAATTTTTAAAGACAACTGAAGACAATATAATTATAATAATAATATCACTTTGAAATGTTATTGGTATTAAAGATTCATTCATTTGTTCGTCCTCCTGTCTGCCTGTTTTGTTTGTTCTAAATGCGTCTTAAATACTTAACGTTACATTTTGTATGTAAATAATGTATTTATATATCTCTATGGGTTTTATTATTCAATTTAAATAGGTATATTTTTATGTCTTGTAAAGAAATGGAAGTACTGGAAAACATTTTTAGTGTTTTTTTTTTCAATATATTCCTTTAAATGATTTTTTCTTTGCCTAATGAGTGGGTGTTTGTGTGTTTGTTTATTCTTGCATGTATATTAGCCTATTAGTGTGTCAGTTGTGAACCACATGTATCCCGATAAATAATTTATAAAACAATTTGATTTTTTTTTTCAAAGAAGAAAATATTTAAAAGATTACTCTGTAAAATGATTATTTTTGTATTTTCACTAAATAGCTTTTGTCTTTCCTCATTTGTTATTTGAGGAAATTACTTACGAATATATATATATATACATATATATGGCATCTAATATTTAATTATTTGTATAATATTGTTCTTAAATAGTTACTAATTTAATGTATGCGTATAAAACTAGCGTGGCGTATTATAATTAAATGTTTGTTTAAATTGACTTCCTCTCATTTTTTTGAATGTAAAATTATCATTATGAAATGTGATTACTTATTTCAGTTGATTGCTTACTTCAATTACATTTGAACTTTCAAGTATTTTCAAAACTTTAATCTTCTTCTTTGAAATGGTTTTTTATTTATATTTTTTAATTACATTTAAATAGAGCAATTATAGATATAAATATTTGGAGAACATGTGGATGCATATATGTTATATAAATATATATTATATAAATATATATGTGAGTAACTATATATATATATATATATGAATAAGTATGTATGTAAACCGTTTGTATCTGATATTAATATTTACATGTGCTTGATGGTGCAGTCAGTTATCGTGGATCTTTGAGTCTTGTGAGATGGCATATATAGGGCCTAACTCTTGGCATATTGATCTATAATGGCCCCAGACATTTTCATAGCTACCAAGCAGGGTCCAAACTGTTAATTACTGTTACATATAATGGTATCATATATTTTCATTTCATCACATATATATATATATATACATATATATGTATGTATATGTGCATACACCATTATGCTGTCTTGCACATATTTCAATTTTTAACCTTATCTTCTTTTTTTATTAAAGTTTTGAATTTTTTTTTTTTTGTTTTTTAAACTTTAAAATATTATTTTTTAGAATTAGAAATCGTGTCAATAGATTTTTACATTATTCATTATTTTCTCTCTCTCTCTCTCTCTCTATATATATATATATATATATATATATATATTTCATAATGTATATAATTATTATAATACGTTTTAAACCTTCTAATTTATATATACATGAAATGTTCTCTATGTTTTAAATATATACATATGTTGTTTGGTTGTTTGATAATTTATAATGTATAAAGGAACTGCGCTCAAATTTGGATTTTATTTAATTTTGATTGAATAGTTTTTTATTAAATAATTTTATTTAGCGAATTCTTTTGTCCTGAAATCATTTTTAATATTTTATATGCATCATAAGGGAGTCTTCATTTCAAATGTAACTTGTTTATTAGCGTTGTATGTTAATTAATTCTTCATTGTTGTTATTAATTAATGTTGTAGCCGTTGATTGCACGCCAGACGCTGGCCTGGTATGCATTGCATTATGTTACTTATTTTCTGATTCCTATGAACGTTTGAAATGTGAAATGCGAGTCGCGTGAAATGCATATGTCTACTACCACTACTACTACAACTACTACTGGTTGTTTCATCTTCTTTGAAATAGTTCATTACAATTTAATGTACAGTATCATAACGGTTTTTCATTATTGTTATTATTAGTTTAAATGTACAAAATCATCGTTTTCTATTATTAAAAATAACTGAAGTGTCGTCGCGCAATTCTAAGCAAATTAATTTGTCTTTTCATCTTCAATTTTCATTTTTTTTTAAAGAGTAATGGACAGTTCCTAGCGTCAATGTTTTCTTACATTCATAGAAGTCGATTTTATTTAAAAATGACTTTTAAAGATTTTTTTCAGGTTTTGCTCTTCAACTGGAAACAATTTTTACGTAATGGTAGAATTATTTATGTAACGTATTGTACCATATATAAATTCACATACGGTGTGTACATTATCGCTTATAAGAGCGTATCTAAGCCGCACGTTACTATTATTCAAATGTTCATTTGTTTGCTCTTTCTCACAGAAGTTTCTATCAGTTTATTTTATTTTCATTAAATTCGTTTTATATATTTCATTTATTTTTCATTTTTTTAAATTTCAATTTGCTGGTTATGAGGGCTTATTTTCATGCGAGAAACTGAATGAGTAATGTTCTTCAATTAAGACTGTTACCACCTTATTTTCAAATAAATTATATCTACCAATGCTTTATGATGTTTGGATACACACGAAATGTGATGCCCCAGGTGCTAATAAAACTGGATTAACGAGATGTAAGCAATTTTCGATTTCTATAAATTTTAACAGCCCTGATGCTTAATCGACAGAATAAGTTTTGCTTATTATAGTAAAATAACGTTTCACCTGGGTCGTCCTTCCACTAACTTTTCAGACTTAACGTCCTTTTTCACTCGTTTAAAAGTACCAAACACATACTTGTACGCGGAATTGCACACAACTCGAGTGATGGGCAATGACCTCTGCAATTAAGCTAAAAATGTACATGCAAGACCGTGCCTGTTTAAGCTCATTTTTCGTTAAAACCGGTACCTTTAATAGATCGATTTTCCCTGACATCCAGAAAACACGAGCTGCCAAAACAAAACACAATTCGAACAAAACGCCTAGTCAGTTTGAAATAAAGTTTTACGATTTGTTGCAAACTTAAGATGTAGTCAGAGGTACACCCACGCTAAACGATTTTACTGTTTAGTAAAATTTAAGAAAAAAAGACAAAATCAAGGATTGTTTCAGTTTATTTTCAATGTTTTTCCACATTACTGAAACAATTAATAACAGTTGTTATAGACAGTGTTCTAGTTCTTGTATCCTCTGCTCTTTCTGCGACCACGAGCTCTTTCAAATTTTCTTCCCTTAGCTCTGACATAAGGCCTAGAAATGAAAATTAAACATGTAGTCATTTCAGTATATTTACGAATGAATTTTGTCCAACAAAAGATATGATTTAAATTTTTTATAGCAGGATAAATAAAAGTGTATGTAAGTAAAATGAGCATCTATTTCAGTGTGAATGATTAACTCTAATATAAGGTATAAATTGTTTTGAAAGATCAATTTAAAAGCATGTACAGCCAGATAGGAGAAAAAGTGTTAATGATTACTTGGTGTGGCTGTGTGGCACTCCAGGAGCCAATCCAAAGTGTCTGTAAGCTTTCCTTGCCTTTCTTTGACCTATATATGATATAGTAAAAGTTTGACAAATGAAAAATATAAAGTGTTAATCATAATGTAACATTTGTAAACGTGTCCCACCTTGCAAAAGAACAGTATTTTCTCCTTTTGGAGCCTTCAATGCTAATTGATCAAATGTAAGGATCTCACCGCCGGCTTTCAAGATTCTAGTACGGGCTGTGTCAGTGACACGAAGTGCAACTAACTGAATGCATAAAAAATTTTATTTAGAAACAAACCAAAAAAGTTTTTCAGACATGTACATAAAAACAAATGAAAATTACAAATAATGAAATATTGCAGAAATGCCAAATAAACAACATTTAAACTTAATTCACCATAAAACATATATAAAAAATTCTTACCTTCAACTTCGGAACAGTGTACAATCTCTCGTCATCTGTAACAGTGCCAACAACTACAGCCAACTTATTTTCACGGCCTTGTTTTTTCATGTGACGTGACTGCAACCATAAAATGTTGAAATTAAAATATTTCATGCTCTAATTTTAATAGATGTTTTCTATAAAAATTGGAGATTAGCCATTTTAATAAGCATGTCAGTTGTGAACCACATGTATATTGTATTATATATTAAATTAGAATTTAATTATATCTTAAAAATAAAACCCCTAGTGGCCTAGTTCCTGATATATAACTAATTAAGAATTAAGATCAACCACCAATCCAAAATAATCTGAACAAGTATCCAGATTATTAAATGATGTTAGATTAGAATTAAATTTTAAATATAAAAACCCTAATTCCTAATATATAACTAATTAAGTTTAAGATCAACCACAATATTCAGATTATTAAATAAAGTGACAAGAAAAAAAAGTACAAGAGTTTTCTAGCTTTGTTAGCAAGCATATCGAAACAGTAAATATTACCAATCTTGACAGAGAGAGAGGTGGCTTGTTGGTGCGACTCATGATCAGACGCTTGAAGACAATTTGATTGAATTTGGCATTTGTCCTTCTTGCCAAAAATTTGTACAACTGGATGAAAAACGAACAGTTATTTTACAAATATGCTATTTTACGTTAGAATTAAATGTGTAAAAAATACCTTGACTAAAAGTCTCAAGTAAATATCGTCAGTCTTGGGTTCCTTACGGTGAACCTTCCTGTCATGTTTGTGACAAATGTCGATACCCTAAAAAAAGAAAAAAAACAAAATGTGTTAATTTTTGGCAATTAAATTATTAAATTATGTCAGATGGAAAAAGATTGAATAATAAAGGCCTGAACTCACCATTGCTGATGATTACCGAAAAAGGAAGCTGATGGTAAACATGCGCAAGAATATTAAAACAAAGATAGAAAATAAATAAAAATATATTGAATAATTAATTCTATGAATATACTTATTCTACGTGTTTAATTAATATATAAAGAAAGTTCTATATTTATGATTGATTTTAAAATGTATGTAATATTAATACGCTTGTTTTGCAATGTTTTAACATGCAACGGTATATTTTGCACATTATTGCTTAACTAAGGCAAATAAAATTCTTCTAAGTGCCCAGGTCCGCGATAGTCTTCTCATTTTCACTTCTTAATTCCCGTTATGCTAATTCTACTTTAAATTCTTCTGATTCTTCTCTCAGCTCAAGAACTCATCTTATAAATTTACTCTTAAAGCAGATTATTCACCAGCACTAAATTACACATAGGAGCTGATCTTTACTAATTAATCTAACGATATATCTGGATGAGTTTGAGTAGTTGTATTGTTTTAACTGTGCCAACTGTAATGGATCTGTGCAGTCATGCTGCAAAATTCGTAATAGATGGTTAGGAAGTTGGAGTGTCAATCCTTCCAAAAGGACATAAATTGGTAGAAAAACTCCATTAGGCCAATTTTTTAGTTGATATATATATATATATATATATTAAAATTGGTAAACTGGCTAAGGGATTTATTTTATTAATAGCCACAAAAATTAAAACTGTTTTAACCAGTTTTTTCAATCAAATTCCCCCAATAACTCAAAGAACTCCCACTTCAGTAGACGCCTCTGTTACGAAGGGTAGGAAATGACAGGGGAATTGCGCTATAAAAAAAAGTTACGTCATATGCTTATATTGAAAATGTTTAGTTAATTGATTATTTTATTGATTAAAAATTTTCAGTTCAATAAATTTCGCGGTGATTGTTTCGATCTTTATATAATGCAATCAATGGTAATCTGTCTATTAGAAAACCACAATTTCTGACAAAAAAAAAAATTAAAACGAACACCTTCTAAAAGGCGCATATGTAAGCATGGAATTTTTGTCTAGGATGCAGTAAAAGATAGCAGTTCAACCTAAACATTGAACCAAGGCTCAAAAACTTAACCATGACATGGAAGCACTCACTTCATTTTATAATCACATGTGATAAATATAATGCTAGCGGAGTGTCAAAATAGCTTTCGCTTCAAAGAAAGCTAGTAATGGAAAGAGTACAGAAGAGTTATTCACGTTTACGTAAATACCATGACAGTAAGTTACTGCTATAAATTATTTGCCTTCCTGATATAAACTTATACATAATCATGATATTATATCATTTTAAAGATTATGTGTAACAATATTATTATATAATAACATAAATTAAACGTTTGCCACATTTTGCGCTGTTATTCTGCGATTCTCTGAAAATTCAAATGCCATATTTCCGTCTTTGCACAAACACGCTGTTATGAAAACCACTTTAAATTTAAAAAATATGAAAATCATGCACATCAAAAATTAGTAGAATGTTCTGATTCTAAAGTAACAGCAAGAAATAAAATTCCGACGACATTGTCAATAAAATATCCATTTGAGAGTATTCCACTGGTGACACCAACACAAAAATATAAAAGCAGTCCTAATATTGTTAATGAGACTTTTTCAAGAATACTGATGTTATTTTTGGAAGCAAGCAAATAATAAAAACACAACATGCACAAACAGCATAGCCACGTGTCTGTTTTAAACGCTCGATTTTTTTGTTGAACTTCTTTAACAAGTGTCATGACGGTTCTTTCAGCGAGATAGCTCAAGCAGTGACATGTCATTGTGAGAAAAAAACTACTCCAACCATTTTCTTCATTAGGCAAGATGTTTCTGTCACTACGTTCGCAGTCATTATTCTTATCATCGTCATCCTCATTATCGGACATCCTAGTTTCCAAGTCAAATTTTTTTTTCTTCCTATTTTTATACAAATAAATGTTTGAATCTCCTACATCAATGGCTTCATAAAGGAACAAAACTACATAAACTGTGAGGAAGCCAGGAATGGGATATCTATTCAGTGACCAATCCCACTGTTGTGTTTCCAGGTGTACAAACTGCCAATTGACTGAAACCACAAAACCACACAAACAGAGCAGCCAGGCTTGTTTTGCTTGAGTCATCGTTGGCATTAGTCCAAATAAGAAAGCAACTATGAAAACTACCATAGCCCATTGTTTGTTTATTTTTGCTCTATCAGGATTAATGCTATAAAAAATATACAACAATGAAGTTATTGACATGCAACATACGGCAAAAGCAAAAGCAACTACAAGAACAGATCGAGGAGGAAACTTGCGAAATATGATGCAGAACATGCACATAACAGTCCCCGCTATCACAGGTATATGTAAAAACTCAAAATTTGCCAACCAAAGCACGAATGAGTTTTTAGACGTATGAGTTTGTATAATAAATTCGTCATTGACAACATTACCAAAGAATCCCGCCAAGAATCCAGTTATGATTCCACGTATCATGCAGTTTGTTTTTCTATCATTGATTATTAAACACTTTTCTAATGAAATTAGTAGAATCAAAAGTACTGGTGTAATGGTGAAGACCATCGGCAATTTGAATTCATCAAGAAGTCTAGCGAATGTCGCGATAGTAGCCAGGCAACACAGCAGTTGCAAGATGAAGAAGATCAACCTTAAGCATATATCAAATCTTCTGTTCGAAAAATTCATTTCAGTGTCTTCTTTGCTGTCTTCTGTTTCAGATTGTAGAAACAACATGAAAATTATTTCAATCACTAAATAAAGGCGATGACGTGAACCCCAAAAAGCAACTTAATTTGCCTAATCAAACGATCAGCCAAAACTTATATTGTTGAAAAGTAAACACAATAAAGGTAATTGGGGTGTGTTTTTCTAATGCTTTTATTCACATTCACCTGGATGCAGTTAAACAATATTTAGAAATGTTACTATTTTCAACAGCATGCAAATTCAAATTGTTATGTAATTATAGTCGTTAATTGTTTTACTTTTTTTTGTTTACAAGAGTACACTTATCTAACGAAATTATTTAATCAAATATTCTGGTCAAATACTTTATTTCTATTCAGAATGATAGTTCAATATTTTTAAATTTTTAATTAAAATTTTATTTTTACTTATTCCTTTTAATTTGTTAGTTTAATTAGGACTTATTGTCTAAACAAAGACTATGACCTTGTTAAATTCACATTTACAATGTAGTAAATTTAAAAACTTCTATACCCAAATATGTGGAGTACCAATATATTCTATATATATATATATATATATATATATATATATATATATATATATATATATATATACTAGGTTACCCGGCAGACTTCATACTGCCTCGATCGATAAATAAGTCCTAAACTTTTGTATAAAATAATTTTAAAACAAAGAAAACGAATCCGCATTTAATAAAAAGCATATTGTTAATGATGCATGAAATTTTATTATTATTTTCTATACATCATGTTGCTTAATTACAAACAAGTTTTCTAGGTGACCCGGCAGACTCATTTTCTGCGAATAAGCTCCATTTCATTATGTCGTGCTTGCTGTTATGTTTGATGTGCACAAATTCGTTGCATTCTAAGCCTATCTACTTCATTATCACTCGCTATATAACGCGATTCTGACATAGGAAAACGACTGTTTTCTTGATCTGTCTCTCTCTGGTCATCAGTGTGGTTAGCACGTGAGGTTGCCCATTGCACATTTGATTGACTGCAACTACCCAAGTCAGGTCGTCTTCTCGGCATCGTAAATTGTAAATAATCAAAGTTAGAAAATTTCTCGCTCACTCAGCAGTAAAGTATCACAATCACAAAATATCCAAAAAAGAGCACATTACTCTGAATGTCACTATCACAAAAGATCAACACAGTAAAGAAAATTCTCGCGCACTCATAAATAGCGTAACAAAACATCGAATATCGTAATACATTTTTGGTGTTCTTAAGTGCGACAGGATGGATTGAAATATTAGTTAAACTTTATTGAACTTCAATAAAGTTCAAATTGACTAAATTTAATTTAGAAAACGTTTATATGGGAAAAAAGGGCTGTTTTTAAAGTTTTCCCGGCAATTATTCAAATTTTTCTCATTTTTTAAACCTTCCCTAGACCTCCACAAACATTTAAAGACCAAGATAAGATAAATCCGTTCAGCCGTTCTCGAATTTTAGCGAGACTAACGAACAGCAATTGATAGATTTATGAAGATGTTAAGCTATATGTATATACATATATATATATATATATATATATATATATACATATACATATATATATATACTCATGTTATATATATATATATGTGTGCTGGTAAAAGACCATAATTAATGCAGTAATTTATAAAATCAACCGAATTTCTAGCGTTGGATAGTTTTTGTTATTTCATTTTTCAATAATTTCTAACCATTTCTAACCAGACACATGCGTTTCTCAGCCAGGCTTGCGTTCACTACTATGGCGAGAACATAACTGGCGTGATAAAACATTACAACTGTTTTCATCTTACAAACAACTTAACAACAATTTTATTCCTCATGTGCCTAAGAAGCGCCGAAGAGCGCTAGCTTTCTAGGCACGTACGCAACCATCTAACCTGTTAAAATATGAACTGGCTTTATAGCAATTTTAACGAGTCTTGCTAACCAGTATTATCATAATAATAATAATAAAACGAGAAAATTAAAATAAAAAGATGAGGTGATTCTGTTGTGGTCGCTCTTGATTGCTTTTTTAACGTTCCAACTATATTAACTCTATTGAAAGTAATGCGGTAATAACAGTTAAGTAACGTTCGAGTTGTACTAACTTTTGAACTTGCAGCTGTTAAAACAAGTAGTGACCACCCCATTTTACAAAGCGTATATTTTATGTATCACTATTACTCATTACGTGCGTGTGTTTGTGTGTATATGTGTTGCTAGATCTATATATCTTTGCCATTTATATATTTATGGAATGAATATCGGGAAATTGTTAAGCAGTTTGCCGAATAGATCTTCTTGCTAAAAGTTAATTTAAAGTAACAAAACATTTGTTCAGATTTTCGCGTCTAATTTTTAATTTCGTTTCAATCGAATTTGTATTGAACAGAAATTTTAAGGTTAGATAACTTGGCAAAATCTTATGCCGGTACTGGGAATTAAAAATTGCGCTTATTTAAACAACCTTTTTTAGATTATAACGGGTTATTGTTATTGTTATCCAAATTTACTTTTTTAAATTTATTACAATTTATTTTTAGCTCTTTCTCTACTATTTTTTGGATTACACAGTACCAATCTAACTAAGATTTGGCCGGATAACTTTTATAGATTGTTAATTAATTTCTAATGGTTTATTTTTTCTTCATTATTTAATTTAAAATTTAATTTTTAACTCTTAACTTAATAATTAAATGCTTAACAGTCTTAACTAAGTTAACTTGACCGTTAACTTAGCTCATTTAAAATTTTAATTTTAGCTTAATAAAGTTTAAATTATAAAATTAATTATAAGTTATAAACTATAAAATTAACAGTTAACTGTTCTGGTGTTCTGTCTATTGATTGTTGAAAAAAAAACATTCACCAGCACTTGACTTAAATTAAAAAAACAGAATTGAATTAATTTTTTTATTTTTATTTTTTACATTAACTTTACTTTAGTTTACTTTACCATAATTCATTTGATTATATTTCATTTAAAAATTAATTTCATCATATCTTTGACATTTGGAACAATAAAATGAAACTTATAAAATAATAATATAATTTACAATATAAAATTAAATTAATTTTTAATCAAAAAGATTAAAAAAAGAGTTAAAGGTCAATTACACTCTTCCAAAGTTCAGAGGATTCAGCAAACCGCACAAACCCGCACAAACTTTGTAAATGATTACGTGCTAAACGACGCATCACACACAAAGCATGTGATAAGCAGTGATCTTCTTGTCATATTTGAACCCGATTACTGCGAAACAACACCAGGCAAAAAAAGCATGCTGCCCAAAAAGGAAATGCAAATTAAAACTTTTAAATTAATAATAATTTCTTATTTTTTAAGCATTTCTTGAACTTGACAGATAAAACAAATTCAAGATGGCACATTACAAAGGAGCAGCTAAGGAAGCAGGCCGAGCCATGAATTTAATGAAGAAACGTCAAAAAGAACAGGAGGAATTAGAAATCAGGAAGAAAAAAATTGAAGATGAATTGAAAGTTGGGGCCATCAGCAACAAATTTGCCGTGCACTACGACGCTGTTGAGAACAAACTCAAATCAGATACTATCGGTAACTGTTTGCTCATTTTTAAACTTTCAATGAGACACTTTCTCATATTAGATTAGATTATTAGATGTTCAATATTATTTAATTTTTTTTTGAATTTTTTTTCATTTCTAAATGTCTAATTCTGATCTATTATGATTTCGTTAACAATTATTTATTTATCATTTATTAAATTTTGAAAAAAAACAGGTTTGGTGACATTGAATGAGATGAAAGCCAAACAAGAAGATGTGGTGAAGGAGAGGGAAAGACAAATCGTTGTGGGCACAATTAATTCAAATTCAGCAAAAATTCAATTACAAAATAAACAGAAAGATAAAATTCGGGTAAAGTATTTTTGAGGTTTACACTTGAAATTTTTTTTAAAGTTTTGCTAATTTTTTTTATCTCTGTTTATCTCCACAGGGACCCTTATCGTTTGCAACAGAAGATGATGAGGACGACGACGATGATGAAGATGAGGGTGCTGGGAAAGCTGATGAAAACACACCATCTTTCAATGACCAAAAAATAAAAACCGAAAAGCGAAAGTCGTCAGAAAACGAATCAAGTTCAGATGTTGATGTGGTTAAAAGGTTGAAGATGGTGAAATGTCCCTATGTCGATACGAGTTTTCTACCTGACAGGGAGAGAGAAAAGAGAGAGGCCAGACTGAGGTGCTTCTTTAAATTTATTACCAAGGAAATTAATGCTAGATGAGTGCTTCTTTTTGTATGTTTGTAGGTATACTGATTGCATATTAATTGAGACCACACTTTTTCACTGTTTACATGTTTGCTAGAAATTATTTTTAAATTTAAATTTGAGAATTTTTAGAAGTTATTCAATTCTAAATATGTGTTACATTCATCAATGAGTACATGATAACAGCTGTATCAACTTCTAATGAAAATTTTTGCGGTTTCTAAATAAAAAGAAATTATAAACATTCTTGAAATGTTTCAAATTTCAGAGAGCAGTTAACAGAGGAGTGGACAGAGAAGCAGAAGAGGATAAAGAACGAGGACATTGAGATAACGTACAGTTACTGGGATGGGTCCGGCCACAGACGACAGGTTCTCATGAAGAAAGGCAGCACAATTCAACAGTTTCTACAAAAATGTCTCGAACAGCTGAGGAAAGAATTCAACGAGTTGAAAACGTCATCCGTCGATCGACTGATGTACGTCAAGGAAGATCTCATCATTGCTCATCACTTCTCATTCTATGACTTCATTGTTACGAAGGTTTTTATATGTTACATATTTTGGAAATTTATATTAACTGCTATTTGTTTTTAAAGATTGTACTAGCTGTAAAGAGATTATTGAAAAAAATAATTTAATGGATGTTTAAGTTGTCGTGCACATCATTTCAACATTCAAGATACGGTTACCACTATCATCATTTGACACTTAACTTATGAATATATTGCATTAATTCTGCTTGTTCAAAGTTATAATTTTTGAATTTTAAAATTAGCAACCTATCTAATCGAATAATAACGTGGCATTTTATTTTGAACAGGCCAGGGGGAAGAGTGGTCCACTGTTCAGTTTCGATGTGCACAACGACGTTCGCATGGTGAGTGACGCGACGGTCGAGAAAGACGAATCACACGCCGGCAAGGTCTGCCTTCGAAGTTGGTACGAGAAGAACAAGCACATATTTCCCGCAAGCAGGTGGGAGCCCTATGATCCGGAGAAAAAATGGGATAAATACACCGTATCTGATAAAGAATCGGCTAAAATTATTGTTAAATAGTGTTTCATTGACCGTTGGTTTTTGTTTGTATTAAAATAAAATTTTGTTGATAAAATAAAACAAGTAAAAATAGAGTGTCGTTGATTCCTCTGGTCATAGAAAGAGTGTAATAGGCAGACCTTTAAACCTTCATTTAATTGCCTATGGTAGTTCATTAAAAACTTAAGATCAAAAAAAAATACCTTTGAAATATATATGAATGAGACGGGGATAAATTGAAATTTTCAATTTCAAATCTAATCGTTCGTTGCATCTAACTGATATAAACAGGAATTATTGTGAAAACCTATCTGAGATAATGAAAACGTCATGTAAATTTAAACGGTCGAAGTTGTAGTAAATTCGTCTTATTGGTCGGCCACTTTGTGATAACCATTATCTCCGCTGATTAGTTTATATTCGAAGGAAGTTGAAGAGCTTTACCTTGAGAAAAACTTTCGTGAAAAGAAAAATTTTAAATAATATATTTCATATTTTTATTTTGTATATGGCTGTATCATTTATTTCACGTTCAATCAATCAATCAATCAATTAGCTTATAAAGCGCTATTTCCGCGATGTTCAATGAATTTTGAAAACAGATGGGTCTTGAGATCCGCTCTGAACTTCGCAAGTGATGGAGAAGTAGTCAGAGAAGTAGGTAGAGAGTTCCAGAGAAAAGGACCAGAAAAAGCAGATTTGGCAAAAGAGTGTTTAACACGAGTTAAGAAAAAGCGAGAAGAAGACGATCGTAAACCGGGGCGTTTAGGTTCAATTAATATATCTGATAACGTTGTCAAATTATAGCCGTGTCTTGCCATGTATTTCTTCGTAACGTTCTTTCAATGGCCATAAACTTTTTCTCGATCTTCAAGTGTTCAAGATCTTCTGTAATCTTTCGTAATTTGATATTAAGATGTTCTTCCACGACCCTTTGCATACATTTTTTAAGGAAGCCCGACCATCTTTTATCGGTCTTGCCTTATCATCTCCTTTTTTCAAAATTAAATTTTATTTTTTCAAAATTACATTTTTATTTTTTGTGGGTCTATTTTCACCAGCTACCAGTTTTACTCTTGCCTACTTCTGTTTCAGAGCTCTTCTGAATCCAAACTAGACCATAGAGTTTGAGATATATATACCTCAGAGGTTATGAATTAAATGCTTTCCTAAACCAGTGCGTCTTCAGTTCCTGTTTGAATTTTTTTACTGAAACAATTTGTCTCAAATGCAATGGTGCACTGGTTCAGGAAAGCATTTAATTCATAACCTCTGAGGAATGTCTAAGAGAAAATAGTAAAAATACACTCTTCGTTATTGTAATCAAACATATAAAAATTTAATCGTATATTGTCTTATTGCAATTGTATTATTACAGTTCAACTATATTTGGCATTTAAACTGTAGAAAAAAGTTGTATTGTAGTTTATTTTAACCAGAAACATGGCTTCGAGTGTTTAATTATTTTTCATCTTATTCATTTTTTGTTGAAACCCCGCAGAACTACTTGAAAGAAATTTTGGCTTACTTGTTTGATTTTGATGATGTTGGTACTGTTTAAAACACAACAGTGAATACACATTTATGCGAAAGAAGTTTTGCGATGGTTGATGATTTATATATGCATTATGCATTCAATTAGTTGTGAAACATTTACTGTGATACACACCATGAGCCAGAGAGGGAGAGAGAGAGAGATGGAGAGAGATATAGAGAAGATACGAATAAATAGAAATGAATAAGAAAAAAAGTAAAACATATTAAAATACTTATATAGTTACTTTTGACTCATATAAAAATATTTTTTTAAAAAAGCTTATATTATTTATATATATATATATATATATATATATTATATATATATATATATATATATATATATATATACTTCCACGTAAATGAATGACATTTACATATATGTGTGAGTGTTAGTTGTTTATTGTTGGTAGATGTATGCCATTTAAACACGTCCATTCTTCTTCACACACACGCGTACGTCATGCATTTATGATATATGTGAACAGAACTAACATGTTTTATTATTATTATTCTTATTACTTATCAGCGTGTATATTACTATTTGTCTTTGAGGTGCAGCATAAATATTACAAACAGATTTTTGGAAATAAATATATAATTAAATTGGGATCAAACTCCATATCCTAACATTTGAAGCTTGAAAAACATCTTGTTCAAATGTTAAAATTAGTGAGAGTGGCGTGTTGAGCTAGTTAAAAATAAACAGGGTCACCAAAAAAAAGTTCAATTTTAAGATTGCTGAATGCGTGTTGTGTGATTATTTAATCTACCTGGAACTTTTTTCGAAAAGATCTAAAAGTCTTGGTTCTGCCGGATTATTTTTTCAAATTTATATGTCTGTGTGTGTGTGTGTTGGAGCGTAAGAAAAGTATTCATTTATATGTTAAAAAATGAATGAATGAATGAATGAATGAATGAATGAATGAATGAATGAATGAATGAATGAACGAATGGATATAAGTATGTATTTGTTTTTCTACTTCAGTTGTGATCAACAACGTTATTTAACTAAAAGCAAAAGTGCAAAAACTTACGATTTAGTTTATATAATAAAGTTCACATAGTTTTGTGTTATCTGGTGCTGATGTCTAGTGTTCTGTGTTCTGAGAAGTCTGCAACGTTTTAAGATTAAGACATTCAAACAATCTTCAACACAGTAAGTGTGGGGTTTTTTAATTATTGTAAATTGTAATAGATTGTAATGTTGCTGAAAATTTTCAAACTTTTCAGTTACATCAAACATTTTTTCGTTATCATTGAATTAAATACACTTTTTATTCAATAAATACCTAAACCAAGCATGTGTAATAAATAAAATAGTGAATAGAATACAATAAAATTATATTTGCCCAGCCTTACCAGCAAAACTCTTGAAAATATAAGTATGCGTCAGTCATGTTGTATGTCTGCATGTAGTTTTATACCACATGTATGCACATCTTCGTGTGCGTATGTACGTATGTATGTCTGCATGCATGCGTATATGCACGCACACACATGCATGTATCAAGTGCGCTATGGGGTACATACGTATTTACATACAAACATGTATGTGCGTACATGTATGTATGAACCATGGTACGATCTACGGTGAAGATTGTTTTCTAAGATATCAACACTGAAGTATTTAATAAATGAGATAGTTGAAGTATTATTTGTTATAAAAAGGAGAATTAGTACTGCTTTTACTATTATAACTAGTGGAAATTGAAATATTGGTTACACTGTTCCCTGTTGTACATTGTTATTTATTAACTTATGCAGGCAGTTTAAAAAATTCTGAAATTAATAAAAACGGCTGTTTGTGCAACAATGCATCGAATATATGTCTACATTCGGTTGGCTCTCTATGCTTCTTGGTTGACTATCAACCTAATCTTCAAAGTGCTTCAGTGGATTTTTTGGGAATGCACTGGAGTTGCGTCAGCTTTGAGGCAAGCTACCAAAAATCCCTGGAACAATAAGGCTGTACAGGTCGGATTTTATTTTCGATGGTTATGATGAAGTTGAAATTGAAAAGTGATTAAATTTGGAAAAATTAGTAAAATTACCGATATGTTTTTATCGTATGTGATTGGAAATGTGGACTACTACGATTCAAATTGAAAATAAATGTAGGCCAGGTTTGAGATGAAAATGTTCACGACTGTTGCACACAAGCGAGTTCCAAAAACTTCATGCTTCCATTTTAAAAGTAGTGAGAACAACATTTTAACAGATCGGGAACATTTTTTTGAATTTCTATCAATGAAGTATTCGGGTGATATGCTTTACACTTGAGTATGCAACATCCGATCCACTTTTTTAAAACTGACCAATGTAAATTGGTTAAAGTATAACATCATCACAAATATAGCTGCCTGATTCCTAATTTTACAATTTAACGGCGAGTCTGTTCATTGAATTATTAAAATGAGTCAGTCATAGCATGAATCTTACCCTACATCTAATGATTTTTTTTTAAATAGTTGCATTGAATTTTTGCATGGCTGCACTCGACATTCTACGATCAATTTCTTTATAACGTAATCACAAACTTTATAATATCTTTTAATTGCTGATAAAATAACCAAAGATTAATACTTAATCATTTACAAACCTATCAAACAGAATTTCGCTTATATAAAAACGATATATATATATATATATATATATATATAAAACTGTGTCAATATAATACAATTTTGCACTAATATAAAAATTTCGAGTGTGAACTGTAGCACCATACAACCAAACCTGATATCAAACACAACCGTAAATTTTCAATAAATGCATTACACACTACCACACGCGCCGGAATCTCAAAAAGAAATTTGATTCATCAAATTTCAGGTAAAAATTGATTTATTTTATTCTGGCATGACTTTTCAAACTATTTCTTAGATTTATTAAGTGAAACATTTGATGATACTTAATTGCCCATTTAACAAACATCCATGAAATGTTTTGACGTGTTTGCAAGTTGGCTACGATGAATAGAACTGGCAAACTTTTAATATTTTTGTTTGAAAAAATTTGCACACAATTTGCTTTAATTTATGTTTTCAATCAAATTAATTTTTAATATTTTAATTTAATTAGGTACTTAAAATCAGAAGCAGGTTCAAATTATGTGACTACACATTTCCAGCATCTTTCTGGGACTTCCTTACCACTCACGAACGTTTTGAACCATTGGAATATGTCCTTCAGGATCACATCACGCTCTACGTCGTACGTTTCTAGTTCACATGGAGATACATCTATTTGGAAAATTTTTAAATGCATTTATTTTCTGACGCAGGTTAATCACGATGAAGCAATATTCGTAGAGACCAAACCAGGTGTGAAAGTGTGGGACACTAAAATCCATTCCCCGTTTATGATGAACGCTCAATTTATTAATGCAGTCAAAATATTAAAAATTTCGACAGGTTGTAATAAAAAAAGCTTCTTTAGAAAGATATATTATTAACATGTTCATTTTACTTTTCAGTCTGCTTACATGCTTTGGCCGAAAAAATTGGTGATCCCAAAGGGGAATTAATTTTATTGAACAATTGTTCGAGATGCGGATCAACTTTATTAACTCAAATGTTCAACTTTACTGATAAAATTTTGGCATTTGGTGAACCAAATTGCTTAAATTTTCTTTCAAAAGCCGCTGATTATCTTGGCGTAGAAAGTTGTAAGAACTTAAAAGTTTTCTAAATTTGCATTATTCTGCTGAATTACCATTAAAGTTTATAAAATGAATTTTTTTTTCTTAAATTCATAAAATTTACAATAACATCCTGTATAAAATTTATTACTCAGCCGAAAACTTGGAGTTCGAACGACTGGCGAGGAACACAATTCGACTTCTGTGCAAACGTACGCAAGCTGGAAATGAAATTGCTTACGTCATCAAAGTCTGCTCTCCATGCTTAGGAGCTACGCCACTTTTAGTTAAACTCTTTCCCAATGCAAAGCCTCTCTTCCTCTACCGAGACCCAGTAAAAGTTTCGCAATCGATATACCGTATGTCATGTTCTCTCTATTCAATTAGGCTGTTTTACGTTTTTGGAAAAGGATCAGCGTTCAAATTTAGCAAGATGATGGGTTTTGTTGGATTTCCAGAATCCTATTACAAGTTTAACATTTCAAACGTTTACTTAATACATTTTGGAAACTTTTAACAAAATTATTACAGACTTTGCATGTATCACGATCTAACAATGGGAGTTGGTTTTTGGTACGCTCTAACCCGGCAGTATCTGAAATGTGTTGAAGTTGTCAAGAACTTCCCAGCTCTCAGATATGAGGATATTGTTAAAAACACTGCAAAGTCTCTTGAAATAATTTTTAGGTAACATAAGTTATTTTTATCTCACATTTATTTGAAAAGTTATACATAATTAACATCTATCAAAAACAGGCACTGCAATTTACCGCTGGAACTCATTCCAAAAGCATTAGAAGCTCTGGGCTGCGATTCTCAGAAAGGTACAGCATTAGCATCGGATGTGTTGAACAAATTTCCTTTGCTGCCGTACGAAGGTGCGGCCAAGTTGGAATGCGAAAAACTTGCCAAGGACATGGGATTTCCCGACCCATCCAAAACGTACATAGTTGAAAATACCATTACTCACTCTTAATTATGTTATTTGTTATGTTATTAATGTTGTTTAAAATATTTCAATTGTCTATGTTTGAAAATATCTAAAACCCATTTGAAAAATTTATTTTTTTACGTTGTTAGCGTAAATGTATGAACATCATTTTATTTGTTGGAAATTATATGAGAACGTTTAAAAATTTAGATTCAATAAATCTAGTGTTGCAGTTCGTTATTTCAGTAAATTTTATTAAATAAAATTCATCAAAAAGATGCAAATAAATAAATTAAAAATATGGTGCAATGCAAAAACGCTGGTGCAATGCAAAAACGCAATTAATATAATTATTATTTAATATTACTAATGTATATAATAATATATTAATTAATTATATATATATATTGTGTGTGTGCGTGTGTGTGTGCGTGTGTGTGTGTGGAGTTATGGGGATAAGGCGCCATTAATTAAAAAATGCAAACGAAACATGTTTGATCTCTTTGAAGTGGCTGATGTTTGAAGCTCGAGTTAGTGTGGATCGGTTGTTTGGATCGATTTATTTTTCTAAATGTACAAAATCCAAAACCTGAAGCTGCTCTCTTTCCGAGACGACACGAGATGATATTCAAGATGGTTTGAATGTTGTTAGAAGATTGATACTGTTGAAGAATTATAGTTATCTGCAATTGTCAAATTGAAGTCAATGTAATAATAACAAGCAGGCACTATTTAAATGTCTCTTAAAAGTATCAGATTCTTTAATAGAATTTTTTTACAAACCTGGCTCATTGATTACATTTTAATGTTACACACTTGTGAATGAAGATTTGTTTATAAAGTTATCTTTACTAACGTTGTTAATCGTGTTCACTATAAACATGTGCTGTGCAGTGCGCTGTCAAATGTAAAACTTTACTCAAGCCTGCTTTGCATATCAAAAGATTTGTATCAAACGAAAACATAATGTTATATATTCTAATTTAGAACCGTCTGCTTGTTTTTTCATTGTTGTCGTCAGTTGAAATTAACAAATAAATTCCAACGGATTTAAATTGTTTGTGCCTAAATAAACGAATTGAATAACCAAAATGCATTGGATCTTCGTTTACACGAAGCTGGCTCGATATGCGCTGTGGTTAACGGCCAACCTGATCTTCAAAGTACTTCAATGGATGGTTTGGGAATGCACTGGAGTGGCATCTACTTTGAGACAGGCAACCAAAAATCCAAGGAATAAAAAAGCTGTACAGGTCAAATCTTCTTCTGACAACTTTATTTAGTATTCATGGTACAGCTTAATATTGTAAATATACATCATTACACATTCCAAGCTGTCTATTCGTAGCCTTAAACTTTGCTGATGCTAAAAATTTACTATATATCTAAAAACCATGTTGATGACTGTGTTATATAATCTAAATATTTTGCAACGAACGCTTTTTCTGCCACCCGCTTTGTTAAAGCGCAACAAATTTATCCTATTATAATTCACAAAGGAATTTATAAAGTTCAAGTTTTTGTGGGCAGTCATTTATCTTTAAATATTCCCAGCTGGGCATAAAAATTCATTTGCATTAATCAAAAAACCCTAAAAAAATATGTAATTGAAGGAGATCCATTGAAATTTCCAGATAAAAAATGTCACACAACATGATTATATTTTGTTTACCAGAAGCTGAGAGTTCGTAGCAAATTCAAATTTTGCGAGTATTTATTTCCCGCTTCCTTCTGGGACTTCCTTACGACCCACGAACGATTTGAACCTCCGGAGTACGTTTTGCAAGACCACATTACACTCTACTCTGTCAGTTGTTCGATTGTTTCTTCTTCATAGCATTTCAACATTTCAAAGTATCTTGAAAAAATTTTTTTTTTATAAATTATCTTGAATTTTTGGCTTGCCAGGTCACTCACGCTGAAGCAATATTTGTTGAAACCAAACCTGGCGTAAAAGTATGGGACACCAAAGTATATCCGCCATTTTTCATGGCTGCTCAATTTTTCAATGTAGTAAATGTTTTGAGAATGCCAATAGGTTCTCATTTTTTTGACTAAATGTTTCAAATTAAAAAAAATATATATATAAAATTTTTTATTTGCAAAGATTGTTTGCATAAGTTGGCCGAAAAAATTGGGGATCCTATGGGAGAATTGATATTGCTAGCTAACTGTGCTAGATGCGGATCAACCCTGTTAACTCAAATGTTTCATTTTAATGAAAAAATTATATCATTCAGTGAACCGAACTGTTTGAATTTTCTCTCAAGAGCAGCTGATTATCTGGGCGTAGAAAATGGTGAGAGTTTAGTTTGGTGATCTTATAAAAATAATTTAAAAAATAATTAATTCAAATTTATTTATCATTTTTTTCGATGAATTTAAATCGATAAAATATTTTCCAATTTAGCCCATAACGTTGAGTTCGAACGACTGACGAGGAACACTATACGAATTTTGTGCAAACGAACGCAGTCTGGCAATGAAATAGCTTATGCCATCAAAGTGTGCTCGCCGTGCTTAATAGCTATCCCTTTTATAAACAAACTTTTTTCAAATGCAAAATCGATGTTTCTCTATCGAAATCCCATAAAAGTATCCCAATCCATTTACCGCCTATCTTGTAACGTCTATTCAATCGGATTGATATTCCACGCTGGGAAAGGATCAAGAATGAGAATGGGTAAAATAATGGGTTTCATTGGACTGCCTGAATCTTACTACAGGTACTCTTACTTTATTTTTGTTTGAAACTTTATATATAAAACTTTATATTTTTTTTTATCGAACTTTTAAAAGACATTGTTTGAACCACGACTTCGCCGTGGGAGTTGGTGTTTGGTACGCAATAACTCGACAGTATTTCGACTGCTTGAAAGAATTTAAAAACTTTCCCGCTATCAAATATGTAGACATTGTTAAACATCCAGCAAAATCTCTTGAAATAATATTCAAGTATACTAACTTAACTATCAGATTTTTTGAATTGATAAATTTTCAAGATGTGTAAATCTTATTTAAAATTTAATATTTATTTTAAAAAAGGTTAACTTGCACGAAAGATTGCCCAAACAAATTACAGGCACTGCGGTTTACCAACAGACCTTATACCGAAAGCATTGGAAGCCTTAAAACACGATTCTCAGAAAGGTACACCAGCGGCGTCTGACGTGTTGAACAAATTCCCTCTACTAGTTTATGAAGGCGAGGCTAAAATTGAATGCGAAAATCTGGCAAAAAATTTTGGGTTTCCAGATCCAACTGAAGAATATATAATCGAGAACACGATAACGAAAATGTAGCTCCAGTTTATTAATTTTGCCCCATTAACGACTTTTAAATATGCGTTTAAAACGACTAAACTCGATTAATCGAATAATTTTTTCATTAAAATGAAAAAATGGAAGCAAGCCGTTTAACTGAATGTAGGAACGCAATGATATTTACCTGGAAGATGAACATAAATATCAATTTTACTCTCAAAATGGTATATAATTTATTTTAACATGTTTATAGCTGGGTGAATTTTATTTTTCTTATTATTATATTATTATATGTATTTAATGGCGATAATATTGTTTAACGAAGTGTAGTTTTATGTCTGCTTTTGAATTAAAATTTCACGCAGCAGTGAACAATAATCGTTACTCGTTCGCAACAATAATAAATTTTAAGAAAATTTCACGTCACTTCATAAAAATTTGTAACATGGATCATATGTCGTCTACATACATTTTTCTTTTGTACGTTATATTCGTTATTCTTGCATGTTAACATCTATTACAAGCAAGGAATTATCGATGTACTAACATTAAAAACATCAACATTTTCATTTATTAATAAATTTTTTAATATAATTAATAATAATAATAAGTCAATCAAATTTTGGCTAATGGTCAATTGAGATATTAGATAAGTTATCGAGTTTAAATCTCAAGATAATGCATTGGATAAACTTTACATTAGATTGGTACAGTACGCGGGAGAATTATTTTTTTTGGGAGATTGTTGAAGATGCGGATCAACAATGCTCACGCAAATGTTCAATGCTACTGAAAAAGTTGTATCGTTTGCAGAACCAAATTGTTTGTACTATCTATCAATAGTTTATGATAGGATGCAGGAGTCCTATGACAGTAAGTGGATGAGTATGCTGATCTATTGTATTTAAATTTCTTAGGAGACCAACTTTTATTTCTATAGCAGGATTGGACACCGAAGTATTTGAACGTCTGGCAAAAAACGTTATTCGATTGTTGTGTAAAAGAACAGAAGGAGATGAAATCGCATACTTCATCAAAGTCGGTTGTTCGGCAATGCTAGTGACTCCACTGTAAAACTTTTCCCCAACTCTAAACACATGTACCTCTACAGAAACCCTATAAAAGTAGCTCAGTCATTAAGAAAGCTAGCTTATTCAAATTTTTCTGCAAGAATGATGCTACACTTCGGGAGAGGTTCGGCAGAAAGAAGTTGCTTAGTAATGAAATTAATCGGTTTGCCTCTATCCATTTACAGGTCAGTTTGAAGGCTTCATTTACATTTACATCATTTTAAATACTCAACTTTTTTTTTAAAGAATAAAGATAGATTCTGAATATGCCTACTGTATGTGGAGATGGTTGATATCTTCATATCTTTATTTGAAATTTAGTAAAATGATACAAAACTACCCTGCAATCAGATACGAGGACATTGTTGAAAGTCCATCAGAAGCAATGAATACAATTTTCAGGTCTTTCTCAAATAATTTGCCACTAGTATTTTATTTCACTAACATACGTTTTAACATATTTTAAATTAAGCCACTGGAACTTATCGATCGATCTTGTCCCCAAGGCGGTTAGAGCTTTGAAATGGGATTCACAAGCAAATACTTCCCTCTCTACAGAAATTCAAAAGAGGATTTCAGATTTATCTTTTGATGAAGAAGCTAGAACTGAATGCAATCAACTTGCAGATCAGTTGGGACTTCCGAAATTAACCGAAAAAAATTATGTTCTTGTAAACACAATTACTCAAATGAATGGGCACCAATAAAAATCTACTATAAAATAATTTTTCTTTTTTTTCCATATATAATATATATACAGTTGGGTTAAATTATTTTGGGACGCGTTTTTTAAAATTTATTTAAAGCGACTTTAATAAACAAAATATGCTTATTTTCATTGTTTGAGTTAAACTTTTAATTTCATCTCATGCGATTTACGCACATCAGATCAGAATAAATGCATGCCCCATACTGCATGCTACAAATATTTCATATAGCTAGTGAGTTGAGAATAGCAATGAATCTCCAGATTACCACTTAAGAATTTGTAAACCGCTCAAGTCAAAAACTTTCTCGACTATGCTGGCTGGAGAACAGCCGCGTTATCGAGCTAAGCTAGTAACGGGAACATTACAATATTCATTTTATAATATTGCCTTGCATGTTGCAACTAATCTACGTCTGTCAGTTTCTAATTTTTTAAAGAAAAATAAAAAAAATATTGTGTTGTCACACATTTCGGAGTGTTCAATTACTGCAAAGTGTTAAAGATCGGGTTTTGGGGAAGTCGATGGGTCCTGAAAGTATAAGACACAAGAAAGAATAGTCGGCGAGTTAGCTCAGTCGGTAAAAGTGCCATGTCTCGTGCAATTACGCGATGGCCGGGTTCGAATACTGTCGGTCGTAACTCAAAACTATCATACGCCATGCACGTATGATGCGATGCTTGCACGTGCATACATAATGTGTATGTACGTCCTAAGGTGTGGTATGGATAGTACGGTCTTTGTGGCACAAAGGTTTAAGTGCAGGGATGATATGTAAGAGGTTCTGCATGTGTCAGAGCTACATTATAAAGAAAAAAAGAAGTATATTATGTGGAGTTGTGTATGTGTATAATCCATATAACTAGAATAAATATAACGGCCTTCGCTCATTTTTAACGGTCGAACAAGAAGCTTACTAATGGAGGGGAATTGGAGGGTGATTTTTTATCGTTCGAGTCAAAAGTTATGACTATGGATGGATATCCATGGATATTATATCCATGGATATATATATATATATATATATATATATGTATATACATGGATATATATATATATATATCCATGGTTACGACCGTATATTTACTAATTTCGGAATATTGCTTTAATTTTAATATTAATTTAATTTTTAATTATAATTTTTTTTAAATTGTGATTCAATGTGGTAATTACTTTTATTTTGTATAAATTTAAAAAAATAAAATTCACATTACCGAAAATAATTAAAAGTTGAAAAAAATTGAGGTTATTTGCATATCTCTGCTTCAACCCATAAGAAAGTGTTGTAAATTGGTAAATAGGCCTCCCTTTGTATAATCTCTTAATTGTCTTTGGTCTGTATGCTTTCCATTGTAAATATTAGTTCTATTGTTTACTGTGTATATAAATTTAATTATCGCTAAGACCGGTTACTTGTAAGTTGTATTTAGTTTGTAATTATATTCAGTTTGAGTTTTTCGGATTAAATTTTTTCTAATAAAAATGACGGCGTCTGTTGATGTTAGTGTCGAAGTTTTGCAAGAGTGCATGATTCAAGAAGTTACTTTGGATGGCCAGGAAATATACGTTTTGTAAGATTTATCTACTATTTTCATTTTTCAATCTTTTCTTTTTCAATGATGATATTTTAATTTGAAAATAAATTGGAATATTAGATTATTCACTTATTTAAATAGTAAATTGATTTTAATTTTAAATGTGAGTATTTATTATAAGTTGTCATAAATGTTTGGCTGATGTTTACTTCTTACCTTACTAAGTAATTTGTTATCTGTCATGTCATATATTTATTTATTTAATAATTAATTATAATATGTTATCATGATCATCATCAAAGGCCTTTGACCATGTCTGAAAATCTGACAAAAATGGCCCACAAAATTGATTTTTCAAAAGATGAATTTGATGGCAAAAGTAAACAGTTATCAGAAGCAGTTGATGAGGAGGAAGAAGATGAGGAAGAAAATGAGAATGAGAGGCAGTATCCCAAGCAAACACTTGTCCAACCCTCTCTCTGGCCATGGGATTCTGTCAGAAACAAATTAAGGTCTGTTGATTTTTGTTTCAAGTTCAATTCTCTGGATATTTATTTTTTTTAAATATATTCTATTTCACATAAAATAACCTATTTGCATTTCTTTTGAAATTCAAATATGTTGTTAATTTTTTCCAAACTAGATCTGCACTAACTGAATTGACAGCTCTTCAAGACATATTGACAATTTCGAGAGATCGAAGGTACATGACGCTAGATTATGTTCAGCATGATGCAGGCGAGGCAAAGAGTGCATTTCTGCTTGTGGCAAGGAAAAGGGTTGGTTTTTGTGGCTGTTGTTGCTGCTGCTGTTGTTGCTACTCTTTGTACTGTTTGAACCTTTTTTAAAAATTTGATGAGGAATAGTTATATGGTCAACAAAGAAATTTAAATATAGTAGTGTTTGCTGTTAGGTGTAACTTTAAACATTAATTATTTGACAGGCAATAGCATCTAGTGCAGGTTTCATGAACACTGGCATGGAAAGGATGAAGAAGAATCTTGAACAGATAATGAAAAATAAGAACCACGATTTTCACTACGAGCTGTTGAAGTTGAGGAAAATATGGAGATTGAAGAAAGTCGGAGGCTCCATTCTTGGGGACCTCAGCTACAAATCAGGTTGGTTCTTTATCTGCTCTGTTATTCGTTTGTTTTGTTTCTTTTTGGTAAAAATTATTTCACCTATTTCTATAGCCAAATATTAAGCCAAATAATATCATTGATTCACTCATGAATGAGTTTGTTTCAATTTTGATACATCACTTATTCATGCATCCCTCATGGCAGTTATTGCTCACAGTTGCATTGCATTTATTGTGGTGCTAGTGGAACAGAATAAAATGCACAAAAGACCATCACAGCATATTATTATTATAATTATTATTATTTGACTTATTATTGATCCCTCACTTCCTCCTAGCTGGTTCTCATTTCTGGGTCAGTGGGACGTTTGAGGTGGTCAAGACGGACAGTGAGGCAGCCGACAACGAGCCAGGCACGTCGCTACAGCACCAACAGCAGCAGCCCATGCATCCAATCCACAGTCCACTCTCCAACCTCTCCAATTTAAATGTCATCATCCCAGACGAGCTCAGCGGCAATGCATACATCAGGATTATCATTAAAAGAGTCAATGGTAAAATTGTTTTTCTCGACACTTTAATTTCTTATTTTTGTTGCATCAATGTTCATCCAGTAATTTATTTTAATAATTCATATACAGTTATACATTGTACAGTTTATTCATGTCTATTGTTTTCAAAATAGTTTTTATATGTTTTTCAAATGTTTTGCAATATTGAGTATTGAATTGAACTGAAAGTTATTTTTTGATCCCATCAAATTCAGAAAAAGACTGCAGCATAAGCACATTCTTCTCGCAAAACTTCCTATCGTCTTCTTCGTCATCGTCTTCAACTTCTAGTGAACAGCTATCATGGTCGAAAAGACTTGAGCTTGCCCAGAATGTTTTATTTTGTAAAGAATTATTTGCACAGGTTTCTATAAAGTTTTCTATATTCTTTCATTACAATTTGTAATTGAAATCCTAAGTTTATTACTAGTAATAATTTTTTGCAATTATAAATTTATGTATCATATTGAATAAATAATATGCATTTTATAAATTGATATTCTATATATTTAAATTTTTAGGAATTCAACAACTCCTTCTGGTCATTTTTGTATGAATGATTTTAATTTGATATTTTAAAGTTGTACCAAGAAGCCATGAAACACCAATCACGAATTCCAAATATGGCTTGCGGGAATCATATCGTCTGCCATGTTAGTAAATATGTGTGCTTGTACGTGCGTGTATGTGTGTCTTTCTGTGTGTCTATGTTAGTGTGCGGTTTTATGTTAGCAGTTTGGTACGCGCGCGCGCGCGTGTGTGCGTGTGAAATTTGGGAATTTTTTTTTAAATTTTTCATTTTTCATTCATTCAAGTTGTTTCCTGACGTGAAGTTGTTCATATCCTTGTGCCACACAACAGAGCAGAACAAATCAAATAATGGGGTGAGTTGGGATCTGCTTTTAAATTTCACTAATCTCATTTCTAATGTAGAAACGAAAATAATAATAAAGACGTCTATGAACTATGAATACTTAATGATTGCTTATTAAGATGTCAAACCTCTTTACAACTAATCAAAATACGTTAACGGATACAACATAACACGAGAACAACAACAACAACTGCAACAACAACGTTACACAAAAACCACAGAACAAACCAGCACTTGCACTGAGCAAGCAGCACAACAGCGTATTAGAGCATTCTGTCTACCAGCTATTAAGGGAGATACACTACAACAACACCAACTTTCCCCCTCCAAGGCCCGTCACCATGCCGCTTGGTTTCATCAAAAAGAGGCATCATCTTGGCCCTGCCGGTTCCACTAAGTCACAAATTTCGGACTTTAATTTGGGGTTTGTGGTTTGCTTAGTTTTCCTATGTTTATTGCTCTGGTGCTCTTTACGGTGCTATTTCATTCTTCTTCTTATTGTCACTAGTAGTAGTAGTAGTAGTAGTTGTAGTAGCAGCAGTAGTGGTAGTAGTAGTAGTAGTAGTAGAAGTAGTAGTAGTAGTAGTAGTAGTAGTAGTAGTAGTAGTAGAAGTAATAGTAGTAGTAGTAGTAGTAGTAATAAGAGTTGTTGTAAAACTAATATTAGTATTTATAAAACATTGATTAAAAAATTTCTCTCAATTTATTTTCTCTGCAGACTACCTCGAAATATTATTCTTTGGCCGTTTGTCAGTCAAGCGAAGCATTACTTCAACAGACAAAGGTTGGCCATTTTGGGATCTTTGCTTCTTAAAAAGACGCTACTAATAAAACTTATACTACATTTACTACCAATGCTACTATTTATAATAATAGTTATAACAATAATAACGGTGTTAATCGTTGTTATTAAACTGTTAATATCATTCATGCAAATTATAATAATGCAATGAAAGAGTTGTTAATGACAAAAGTAACATCTTCACGTAATAACATTACAGATATGCATGTCGTTTGTGGCAGATGATAGCATGATATCATGATGGTCTATCTCAATGTTTTAACAAATGATGATACCATTGTCTTAACAAATGATGATACCATTATCTTAAAAAATGATGATACCATTGTTCTCCGTAGTTTAACATGTGATGATAACATGATATCATAATGTTCTAATGATAACATGATATCAGAATGTTCGTAATGTTCTTCTCACATTAGAGTCATCAACATGATAGATGAGATCGTCATAGAAGTCCACGAACCTCAGATAATTGTCCACACAAGTTACTTGAATTCGGCCACATCAACAGGCTTGCGTTTAACTATGGCTTTCAGTGGATTCGAACACAACAAGTTAGTTTTTGTTGTTTATTTTATTTTTTTGATTGTATTTGCTTGTGTGTAATTGTTTTTTTTAATGGAGTTTTATTTGTATGCGTTTTCTCTTTTGATGATTGATTTGGGAAGAATGTACTTGTCTGTAAATGTCTTAAGCAGATGATTATCGCTGAATTTGGTCATCTATGTTTCATCGCTATTAATTTGATTGTGTGTATGTTAAGTTAGACGTTTAATATTAGGGTGGTTATTTTCTACATCACTTCATTTCCACTGCGACCTCCACTATCTACATCTTTCATCTTCACCATGAACAAAAACAACTCAATCATCACGAACGTTACCTTTATCTCACTTACCAGCATGACAACTGGTGCTATCACCCTCCATCTCTTCAACCATCATTATAAATGTTGCGACCAACATCATAATTTTTATGAATATTATAAATAATAATATATACAAACAACTGCAAACAATAAATACTATTCTCATCTTATCCATCACCATTCTTCCGCCATTTCAATTCAATAAAGGACCTGCATTATGTTATACATCTATGAGACCAAGCTGGAAGTAGCATGCAAGGATGGCAGTTTTCAAACGCTGGATGTTGACTTCAAACAGCTTAGAAGATTTATTATGGAGCAGGTATGTATGGAGTAGTTGTGTTCTGTCTCTCTCTCTCTCTCTCTCTCTCTCTCTCTCTCTCTCTCTCTCTCTCTCTACCACGTATTTCCTGTTTATATCATGTTTCAGTGGACAGTTTTTGTTACGTTTATGTTAATTTTTGCTCTCATTTCTATTGCTGCCCATTTTAATGAAATATTTTTTTTTATTTTTTCAGAAAAAATAGTTTAAAAATGTTGATTATAAATTTAAGAACATAAAAAAATGGTGACGTGAAGTTTTTGTTCAAAATATAATAATCATCTTAGTGATTGATTGCATGTAATTGGTTGAAAATTCAATACGTGGATGCAGGCACGAGTGCATTTTTGTTTTTAGCGCACTTTTAAGTTCTCATTTAAATAAACTGTTGATGTATTTCTTCATTGCGTGTCTGCTTTTGGTACATTGTCTGCTAATTTGTTGGTTCAAATGGTTTAATTGGATAGAACAGAGTTCGAACGGAGCTGTGCATGTTGTTTTAGCTAGCTTTAAACCAAACTTTAATAATTTCGTTTCATAATACTTATGAAATAATTCATGAATGATACATCCATCTGACTGACCAGGTCACCGAACATCATTTACTCATGGTCAGCGTGCTAGCGAAAGCATTTGACTGGAAGATACTTTCCATGAATAAGAACTGCTTCCCCCCGAAGGATTACATCGTCAGCAGAGATTGCGGCTACTATGATGATGAGACTGTCAAGATGCACCACGACGAAGAACTCACTGGTGACATCAACCCGAGCATGGGAATGCTTATCATCTCGCCCAAACAGAATAGGTTTGAGGCAATACTTATTACATTCTTTGTACTTTTATATTCAAGTCTCGTAAAAATGATTGAAGATAGACTGGTTCGGTAGTTTGTTTGAATTTTGTCATGCTAAATAAATTTGTGCTAATTAAAAAATTGTTTCAACGTTTTTGAATACTGAATGGGATGAACGTAAGAATGTAACCATCCTTCCCACGTACAGGATGTTGAGTATCCACTGCTTCAGGAACAACACTCAAATCGTGAAGGTGTGTCGCAAACCAGGCGTCCAACAAGCGTCGGGAGCATCAGTCGAGGCTGTCGAGAACGAAGTAATGCAGGGTTGTGAGGACCTGCCTCCGAAGTGGCAAGAAACTGTTGACTGCTTCGAATTCGTCTACATGGAATACCTTCCCGGCAAAAATTTTGCTCAGAAGCTGGAAGTCTTGATGGCTGCTCTGGTGCCAGATCTGACTGCATAAAATGAAATTGTTATTTTATTTATCAAGTTGAGTGTTTGGTTCTTTGTAAGGTGATGATGATTAGTTATAGCAATAAAGAAAGTGAAGTGACGATAATATTGTTATCTAGTTATGTCTACCGTCATATCATCGCATTCTAGTATTTTTTCTGACTTCATTTTTGGAAACTGTAGCATGGCGTGAAAAATTCTTACGTTGTGTGTGTGTGTGTGTGTGTGTGTGTAGTTTGTTGGTTCTCACGCGTTATTGGTGGAAATGATTCATTCCAGTGCCACTTGTATTATACTTCTTGTAAAAAATTGGTTGCTTACGTTAATGAGAATCACAACGTATATGAATTCCTTGTTAATTTTTATTCAAAATTAAAAATTATATTGAGTAAAATAAATTACAAAGTGAACAAAAATCACGAATGAATAATTTAGCCTCCTACGACTCAGTTTTTAACGTAGCCTCATCCTTACTTAACTTTATCATTTGCCCATTAAACGCAATGAACTCTGGCGATGAGTGCATTTGATTTGCTAATGTGTACCACTTATACATACGTAGAATACTCACCTATAGATATGGTACCACTAATTATACAAAGTACTGCATTTAAATAAACGTGCCGATGAACTAACTGACTTGCTGTTAGCTAACTCCTTCCTAGCACTCGTACAAGTTGAGAAAGTTTTGATGTTAATTAGGAATGTTTTGCGCTAATGTATTGTTGAGAACGTTATCAAGTGTACACTGAGTGTACACTGTGCAAATGTTGTACTCTATGTCTAAATACATTTTTTCGAGTTTTTATTGTTTAAAAATTCAAATCTAGTTGATAATTACAACATCAGTAAAAAGTTAGTAGAATACGATTTATAAAAGTGTGCTTATTTTTATGTTTTTTACACATACGTTTGTAAATACACGGTATACGCGGCAAACTTTAAGATTGTAGGAAGCAAGACAAACTTATTAAACTAATTTTCAAACGAAAGAAAGTTAATCGCAGAGTAGAAATGAACGATAGTGCAAAAGAAGTTTATTTATTGCGTCTATTTGACATTTACAACAAAATATCTATCATTCCGCAGTCTGACTCCAACAATCACGTCAATTTTACGGTTAGAAGTACCGTACAGTAACGCGGTAGTTTGATTGATCTGTGCTTGCTAACTCCTGGAAAGGAGCGTATGTTCCTCAAAATGCTGAAGTTGTCCTGATCAAAGTGATAATCATCGCTAATATCAATACTGGTTTTAAAATGTGCTGCCGACAGCTGTACCCCATTTATATTGATCCGATACAAATATTAAATGATAAACACCGAAATAATTCTACGATCTGTGCATTTAGTAAATTGTTTAATAATTTATAACATTAAAAGGTTTAAACTTTGATAGTAAATTGCTGTAAAATTTATATAATTTTTCAAATAAAACCCCATGCAAATAACTTTTGAAACACGCAATCAATCACTGAACATACAAAGCATCACTGAATGCTTTGTATGTTTATTTAAGATAGATAACAGTTATCATACTTGAAGTGTGATACGTAATGAGTTAGTTGTTATATGATGCTGTATTGAAAGTACAATGTTGTATATGTTATAATATATTGCACGAAATATTTTCAAATTTTTGTGTCAAGTATTCTTCTCGTTAATTGTTCTAATCTATCTACTTCATACGTTGCCTCAAGCCAACACGAATGCACGTCTTCTTATTATAGCAATTGCATTTGTGCAAGTCTAAAAAGATTACGATAAGTGATTTAATATTATTATTTCACTAAGCTGTTGGTTTTCTGCTAAGTTGTTTGTTTCATGTTTTCGCCGCTGTGTTTTGCTTTGTGTTTTCCGTTGTGTTTTGTTTGTTTGTTGAAGTTATTCATGTTTTTGTTCATGTTCTTGTGATTTTTTTGTTGATGTTGTTATGTAGATGGATGTGATTTTTGGAGGAATTCAGTTTTTATCGCTATCACGAATAAACACAAAATTAGTCAGTGCGTTATGTGCGAGATGATTTGTCTCGCAGCAGTTGCACATCTGTTGATCAGACCGTTGCAGAACATCTTCCCTAACCTGTGTCAGTATAATTACAGGAGATGAAGGAGAAGTTGTTGATGATGTGAGCAACATGATGATTTGGTGTTTATTGTTAGTCATTTATTCATTCATTCGTTTGTTCCTTCGTTGGTTCATTCATTGATTCATACATTCATTCATTTTATCATTCGTTCTCTCATTCGTTCGTTCATTCATCACTCATTTGTACAGTTTTTTTACTGTCGGTTCATGAGTTTGTTCATGTTTGCTTGTTCATTCAATAAATTATTCATTTGTTCACCTTTGTTTGTTCAATCATGCATCACTTGGAGCGCGTTGAAATAACGCCGGATGAATGACTGCATGTTGCATAGTGGGTCAACTTATCCAGTTTCTCATTTGAATATTCATCCTGGAAGTAAAAGTTAAACCAAATTATTTTATTTAATTATTCGAATTAAATTAAATTAATCAACGTTATTAATTAAAAATAAACAATTAAAAAAGTAAAAGTAATATGGTAATAGTAAGTATTGATAGAACATTTGCATGTGAATGATGCATTATCAGATGTAAACGAGTGAGTAAGTTTGAGGCACAATATAAAAGCAATAATCAGATCATTATTTTGTAATAAAATAAATTCGAATCGAAATTTATGGGCAGGATCTGCTGACACGTTAGTTGATTGATTGTTCTATTAATTAAAGGATTGTTTAATTGATTGTTTAATTGATTGATTGGTTGATTAGCTGGTTGATTGATTTGTTGTTTGATTGATTGATGACCGGTTCATTGACTAGTTGATGAGTTTTGTCTGATTGATTAGATGGCTGTGTTGTAAATTATGAAGGTATGTGTATTAGATTGATGGATGAGAATAATTATGTTTTTCCTACAAAGCAGTTATATAAATATAATCAAATGTACGTTTCACACATTTAAAATATGAAAAATTGAAGGTAGTAAATTATAACACAACTGAAACTCTTCAATTCGTAAAAAATGAAAATAAAAACGAAATGTCATTCGCTCTCTTTTATCATGTTAGAAACAGAAAATCCGCAACTAGAAATTAATAAATGATTAAAAGATTGAATAAACAAAGAATGAAAGAAAGATGAATAAATGAATGAATGAATGAATGAATGAACAAACATGGCTGACATTGTCTAATTCAATGTATGAGCATGATTGATTGTGTTTGCGCTAGTTGATAACCTTAGAATGATGTCTCGCTGGTCGGTCGGTCTGTGCATTTGCACTGTTGTTCTTCTTCCATATTTTCTTTTATCTTTGATAGTGGAATACTAAATATCATACATACATATATACAGACTTACATACAAACAAACATACAAACAAACTTACATACACATAGATAGATAAGAACAATGTCGAAGTTTTTTTTCGTAAAATCTTTGCCCCTCCTGGTTATTTTGGTGTGTGATCTTCTCAGTAAAGGGGAAAGACTTACAAATTTTTTTGAAACATAAAATTCTGAGCAAAAATTGTGTGTGTGTTTGTTGGTGTATGTGTGCATGTCTGTCTGTCTGTCCGTGCGTGTGTATGTGTATTAACACAGACGCATGTTTATAAATTAACACACACACCAAAAATGCCTCAACGCCTCTATGGTTAAACGAAAGTGATAAATAAAGAGACGAAGATAGTGCAAGCAATGAAAAAGTAGAAGGGAAAAAATGACGGAGAGAAAAAATGGAGAAGAATCGGAGAAGGAAAATAATGGGGTGCAGGCGAAGCTTACATTATGTCAGTCAGGTTGCACTTAGCCAGGTTTCAAATCATTTCCCTGCGGTCATCATTCAATTTATGCCTCGGCCTAGAAAACAACAATGCAATCTCTTTCCCACCTCCACATTATGCTTTTCGTCTTTTCGTCATTTTGGCTTTTCCTCTCATATGGATGTTTAGTTTTTATTCTTTCAATGTTTGTTTTTCAGTGTAATTTTTACGTTGTTTCATCTTTTCAATATCTTATTTTTGTTTTTCTTTCACGTTTCATAATCTTACTCTCTCGTTCTCTCCAGTTTTCTCTTTTTCTCTCTTGTTTATTGCATTTATTTGTAAATTTTTTTTAGGTAAAATACAATGCTTTGTTTAATCTCTCATTCTCCATCTACTTCTACCCGCTTTTTTATCTTTCAGTTATTATCTTAACAAATGCACATCTTCACCAACTACATAGTTAGCAACTGCTTAATAATATTTTTCATCACGTCATCACGTATAACTTGACAAAAATACCAGCGTATCTACATACAGACATTCACACGTATCTATATGACTTGACATACATAGATCAACTGATCCATATTAATACATTTTATGCAGCATACGTGTATATCGCAAACATTTTTTATACCTATTTCATTTAACACGTCTTTATAGACTTCACACATACATACATCAGCCCGCCGATTTATTTGCATTTTTAACACATAAGCTCTTAATTTACACACATCCATGTACAAATGAAGAGCATTAAAAAGTACAAAGATACATACATACAATATACTTACATACAAACAAACATATGCAGACACATAAATACACACATACATACACACACAGACTTACATACAAACATATATACATAGATGCAAACATACATGCACACATACAAACGTACATACAAACATACATACAGATACAGAGATACATACATACATACATACATGTTTGGTAGTAGAGGTAGGTTTTGAATGACTGATAAATTGATTCAACGATTGATAACACGACCGACCTAACGCTCATCTCATCCATTACAACTTAGCATAAGGCATACATACAAACCACACAGATTCACACACACACACACACACACACACACACACACACACACACACACACACACACACACACACACATACTACGTACATACGTACACACATTCCTAAATATTTATACACATATTTGTTGTGTTGAAGCGTTATAGTTGAAATTAGGAAATAAATTTATAAATGTTAATGTGTTAATGCGGTCTACATAGGCATTAAATTGTGTGTCTAGTCTACGCACCACAAATAGAATCGTTTATATTTGTATTCGTAATGTTTTTTTTTATGTAATACTTATAAAAATGCATTCATGTCTTAATGAATTTTTTAATAATGAACAACTCGTAAAAACGTATAAATCACATGAGTTATTTTTTGCCAAAAAAAATATTTTAATCAATTAAAAATGAAAAGATGCAACCATATCTTTAAATGTTGGCGCGTGATGAATAAATAGGAGAGAGTGGTACAGATTTTACGAGATGATCACTGGAACGACATGTTTTGTATACAAGAACTTGCATTAAAATCAGAGTTAAGAACATTTTTATTTCATGTAGATATCTAAAAATACTTATATATAGATGTTTAACATGTAAGTGTGATAGAATGACCATATTTGAATTGGTGTATGTTTTTACAAGCATATATATAATGTATATACACAATGTAAATTTATCTGCTATATACAACACCGCAAAAACTGATATAAATGCAAAGGAATCTTTATAAATGCTTTCATGCCAGCTTGTGCGTGCATGTATACGTGTGTGTGTGTGTGTGTATGTGTATGTATGTGTATATATTTAAACATTTGTGTATATGTATGTATGCATGTATACATGTGTACATGTATGTGTGCGTGTCTATGTGTGTATGTATGTATGTATGAATGTGTGTGTGATGTGTGTGTGTAGGTTTTTATATCTACAAAGTGTTAGTGTTTTGATGTTTTTGATGCATATGCCAGTGTTTATAATGATGAGATGGAAGATGGAGATGGAAGATGATGCGCTTGACCATGTTGTGCTGTATAAAATGTTTGTAATGATAACTTAACAAATGATGATTGGAGGGGGGTTTGGTTTGGATTCACATATTCGAAAGCATTATTATTATTATTATTATTATTATTATTATTATCATTATCATCATTATTTATTATTATTATTATTATTATTTATTATTATTATTATTATTATTTGATTTGCTCGCACTGAAGAGTTTACTTAATCGTGAATGAAGTTTTATTAGCGATAAATGGCAAAAACCAAGGAACAATTCCAAGCATATCTTCCCCAACTGATGCACACCTGGAGATTAAGATGGCCGCATAAAACTTGCACACAGTACATAAATAACCATCCAGTTGACGTCGTTGAATAAACATGAGGTTAATTAAAACTGCCCCGGGCTATGTACGATCGTTCTGATTGGATGAAATAATTGGCAGATAATTGCCCTCATGAATATTAATGAGATAAAAATGAATGGTCCTACTTATTATGGAAAGATTGTAACGGTGAATCATATTGTGGATGACGTCATATTGTAACTATACATTGTTCCTTGATGATGATCACCAATTTGAATGATATTACCGAAGAATATAAATTTACAAAACAGAACTGAAATAGTTCAATAAGTATTAAACAAACCTTGCTTAATTTTGCAATTAGAAAACTAAAAGAAAAAAAGATTTGATCGCCGGCATTCATCAAATCAAATAGAAAGATTTCTCTTGGCAGGTCGGTTGTAATTGCATGGTAAATCTACTTTCACAGTTGGATGATGATAATTTTAGGTCCTGTTCCTTCATGAAGATGGCAGTGGATTTATCATTTGTTAGTTTTGTGAGGTGAAGTTTATAAATAAATTGCTCTAATAAAACAAGAAGCTACATTTTGTTGTGAAAAAATTCGATGGTTACATTTTATTTTGAGAAAAAAAAACAATGTTTATATAATTTTTGGGACATGCGCATTGCAATGTCTGCATGGGGTTACACCGGGGAGTTTGTCCAATTAGTAAACAATATCACGTGACATCGTTATGCGTAGTGCCCGCACGCACGCACACTCATCCACAAACACACACAGGCACTCTCACGCACACTCACAACAATACGCATATAAAAATTTACTTTTCATGAACGATATGTATAAAAAATGTACATATGCAAATATAAATGTACACACACGCACACACACACACACAGATACATATTACACCCACCAACATATGTACACACACATATATATTTATATAACTAGATAGTAATATGACGGATAGTAGAAATGTAATGCAGTAATGTATTGTATTGTATAGCGAACGTATAGAGTATGGAGTGCACAAACGATGTTGTTTGTGTATATAAAGTTGGACACGCGAAAGTTTGCGAAGACTCTTCTCCCGTTAAGACTTGTGTGTTTCGGTGTTTGTTAGTGACTGCTTTCCAATAAGAATTAATAATTTTTAATGTAATTATATTTTAATTAATTTAAACTATTTTTCCAAATTGTTCTGCATAAAAGATGGATGTTATAGTTTGTAAATGAGAGAGTTTTAACATTTTTATAACGTTTATTATAATACTTAGTAATAAACTGTATAACAACATGCTTGTAACAGTACATGAAACAAAAATATACAATCATTCACATTAAAACAGTTTTACAATGAAATCGGATAACTTGTTTGTATAAAAATAATATTAATGAAAAAAAATAAAATAAAATAAAAACGAGTCAATAGCGAATGTTTTTGCTGATGTTTTGATTTGATTTGCATGCGAGTGAGAAAAGGAGTGTGTGAAATTGTGGAAGGCTTTGAACTGAACATTCCTTATCTAACTTGCTTCAATAAAATAAGTAGGTGAGGCTATCTATCTTAAATGTTTTGTTTTGTCTTGTTGTTTTGAGTTCATTTGCTTGTTTATATATGTCTAATTTTGTTATCATTTTAAATATTCAAATTGTTAATAAGAATGCCAAAATCTTACTGAACATGCATTTATTTTGTATTATGTTTGTTTCTTTTCTGTTAGTACAATTGTTTAGTTCTTTTGTTTACGGATAAATATTCGCTTGATTAATTTTAGCCATTAACCATTTATTGATGCTAGCATTAATATTCTAATTTTTATATAAATGTCTATAAAACCATTTTAATTCTATTATAATTTTTATATAAATGTCTTTGAAACCATTTTAATTCTATTATAATTTTTATATAAATATCTTTGAAACCATTTTAATTCTATTATAATTTTTATATAAATATCTTTGAAACCATTTTAATTCTATTATAATTTTTATATAAATATCTACCTACAGAGCCAATGGCGAACACTCGCAATTATATAAAATAAACGCGCATTCTATGCTAACCGTCTTAACTGTACATCAAAATTAATGTAAAACTGCCCACATAAATCAATCACCGCCAAAAGTTTATAAATAAATAACAGTCTATAAAATAATTTTCCATCCATTCCACGTTGAGATGAATTGACGCAACTGCAACATTTTTAACATAACACAATTGAACATTTCAAAAGTCTCAAATTTTATTTTTGTCATTCATAACTTCAAAACTGTTTTACTCGGCACACACACACACACCACACACACACACACATACAAACAAACACACACACACATACTCATACTCTCTCACACACAGATAGATAGATAGATATCAATAATTTGATACCTTACGTCATGCAACCTAAGACATTAGCAAATATGCATGCATACTTCCCCCTGACAACTTTTTCTCAACACAACCGGCTTCAAAAACATCGAAAAACCGTCTTCATTCCCATAGATATCAGTGAGATAGAGATCCCTTACATATCAATGCCTACTACGTTGGCTAGGTCAACAGAATTTAAAACCGAAGAATGAGGAAACATAGAAATAATAATAATAAATAATCTCATAAAAGTTAAGCAGATTCAAATCACGTACTCAACCGAAGAATCGTATCAATTGTCAATATCGTCTTACCTTCCTCTACATACTTTTCACTTTTACACATCTTTCCTATATATCAGCAACTATATTTATATAGCGCAGAATTTTATTAAATATCTACATGAAGGATTTAAAGATATATATAAAAATACGGACTAAATATGTTGAAACTAATTGCACATATATTGGTCTCCGAATCATTCATGCTTTTTTGTTTTGTTTGATTGAATAAAAGTGATTTGATTTTGAAGTGTTTAAATAAAAAATATACACACATATGTATCGTGACATGCTAACAATATGCGCTGATGTATGTGGGTGTGAATACATCGTTGTGTGTGTGTGTTTGTGTTTGTGTATATATATATATATATATGTGTGTGTGTGTGTGTGTGTGTGTGTGTGTGTGTTTAATTTAGTTTAGTTTAGTTTATGTTGGTATATACTGTATGTTTATTTACTTATACGAGCATTCGTTCCAACACAACAACAACACAACATAACCACAACCCAACATAACAACAACAACACAACATAACAACAACAACACAACACAACATAACAACAACAACATAACATAACAACAACAACACAACAACAACACAACATAACAACAACAACACAACATAACAACAACAACACAACATAACAACAACAACACAACATAACAACAACACCACACGTGATATTTAATGTCCAGTACGAGCGGGCATCCTTAATATAAACATTATTTCTATTTATTTGTTTATTTTCATTCAAAATTATTTTCAATCAACCGTACGCTAGTGTACATAAACTCAAAATGTGAACATCTTCAGTACAAAGTTTTGCATAGGGCGTTTTATTTTAAACTTGCACTGTACTTAGTATGCAATTGATAAAAATACAAAACTGTACCTTGTATTGTATTTATGATAAATGCGTGAAACAAATTTAATTTTTAAAAAATGTTTGCGTACAATGTATACACACAGGTATGGTAAAAAAAACAACACTTCAGGTATTCTACATGCGGCAGATGTGTACAATATGCTTGTACATCAATGTACATGTGCTGTACAACACATCAATACGTGTGCACGTAGGCAATGTGTGCGTATGTCTGGTCTGGTCACATTTCTTAAAACTTTTGTTTTTACTTTGTTTCTTACTATTTGAAGTTGCTAAACATGTGTATGTTTTAGTTTGTGGATGTATACAACGTGTGTGTGTGTTTATGTGTGTATTTGTGTGTGTACGTGGAGGTGTACAATTTCACAATTTCAATACAAAATATGCATGTGTTCAGCCAAAATGAAAAACATGGATTCAAATTGTCTGTGTATGGTACATACGTGTTATGTATGTATGGATGTATGTATGCATACATGTATGCATAAGTGTATGTGCATGTTTGTGTGTGTAGTCGTGTGCTTGGGTATGAACGGTTTTGTGTTGCGTCAACATTTATATATGGTATGTATACATTTGTATGTGCGTGCATGGTAGGGTAGCATGTCTATTACAACCTGACAGTTGCATTTTATGGAAACTTTCTCGCAAAACATTCCATGCCGATTATTTTCAATCATTAAATATCATAAATGATAATATTTTTAATTCAAATGGACACTTGAGATAGTCGACTGAACCCTAAATGATCGATGATAAGATGACTTCCTGGCATGATTTTCAATGGGAGAGAAATTTTTTCTTTACGTGTTTACATTCATTCAGAACTTTTTTTTATATCAAAAAAACAATTCTTATTGTTTTTCATTTCGTATCGCTTGAAATTATACCAAATTTGTACTTTCATATCAACAAATCTCTTATCATCTTTCTATTTAAGTATCTTCTCATTTTTGTTGCCAATGAAATCAACACTCAACACATTTTCAACACTCAACACAAAAATGTCTAAATTGTCATATCAAAATCCAAATTGTCAACTAGTAAATACGTCGTTCACTAAGCGGTATGAAACCACAAAACTGAGACACAACGAAATGCACTAGCTCGCTGACTTCACACGCACACACACATACATACACACACATACACACACACCATACACACACACACACCATACACATCACACAAAAACACACACACACACACAGATGTATGTACTTACCAAACAATTCTTAACTCAGAATTCGGATCCTTCTATCCATGGATCCAGTTCTAAATGTTCAAACTTAAACGTAGCCAATAATTGGTAATTTATATAGCGCCTGTTTTTTAAATTTCGACATTTAGTTTTGTGGCGTGTGTCGTGCGTGCGTGTGTGTGTGTGTGTGTGTGTGTGTGTGTGGTGTTGAGTTCAGTGGTTAAAATGTATCAAAAAAACATTTCATTACCATTTTTGAATATGAATTTATTGTTGATTTGAGAAGATTAGCAAGTTATTTGTTGAATGATGATGTCAGTGATAATATGTCTGTTGATAATGTTGATATGGGGTGATGACGAAATGATTACGTATATATGGGGTGATATAAATTATGATGTCAGAATGATGTTCTGACGGTGATGCGAAATGATGTCATGAATTGATGTTGTTGTGATGCTAAAATGTGGTTGTTGTCGATGTAACTGTTGATGGTGTTTTTAATGTTATCGTTGTTGTTGGTGATGTTGTTGTTGTTGTTGTTGTTGTTTATGATGATGTTGGTGGTGAGAATGACAATTGGAGTTATTGTAACGCCACTGGTGATCGATGGCAGATGAATAGTTTTTGAAAATAATTTCTCAGTCACGTTCAAGTGTAAAATATTATTTCAAAAGGAAATAACTTTAATTCCGCTGAGTACATGCGTACGACTGCCTATGCATCATTTTGTAATGTAGACTCTAGGTTTCACTCTCTCTTTCTCTCTCTTCCCTTCTTCCTTGTTTGTTGTGTGCTTGTATTTTTGTTTGTTTGTTTCTGTTTTTTGATTGCATTGCTGGTTTATAGACACTAATACGTCATTAATGATTATCACTTACCACTTATTAAGTCTTTTTTATTTTTTATTTATTTTTGTTAAGAGCAAGTGCAAACAAATTGTTGTTTTTTTTTGAGTAGGTGCGTGTTTACTGTAGTGCCTGTCAGCGCGAGTAGGACACACCACTGAAACTTGTTCGTGAGATGGCGCGTGCGCATATTGACTGTGACACATTTCTAGACGCACCTAGACGCTGTGACATATTTCTAGACGCATAAGTACTTGCAAACAACATTGAACAACAAACATTTTTTGTTTCTGCTGGACAAACAAATCAATGAATAGATAAATGGAGGTCTCTATGTTTGCCTTCCTATTCAATGTTCTCTTGTGTCTTCGCATCACGTGTTCATATCACGTGTTCACTCATCCATCATTCTATTCCCTTCTCTCTTTCTTTTTTTTTCTCTCTCTTATAGTCTCTGCTGTTTTAGTTTTATTATTCTTCTTTTTCTCTTGTTCAATCGTTCTTTATATTCCTCAATGTATATTTCCATGTTATCTTCATTATTTTATCTTTATTTCTTTTTTCTCTCTATCTTGCGAGTGTCAAACCTGTCCGTCTAATTCTGTCATCCGCGTGAAGATTCCTCGTTTCAGTCTGTCTGTCTGTCCGTCCGTCTGTCTGTCTGTCCGTCCGTCTGTCTGTCTGTCGATGTTTGTCAACGTTGGCGAGAACTCACAACGTGCTCGCGTTTTATTAAATCGTGCAAATAATTCGCCCGACACATCAGATTTTTTTATTATTAAGATTTATACTAATGTTATTTTAAAAATTATTACTTGCTGTTATTATTGCCAAATATAAATGGCAAAGCATAAATTATTCGCATTTTAACCATCTTATGATTTAATGTTTTATTGAAATTTTCAATTAAAATTCAGACAAATACAAATCTGTCGGATGCATTCACATACAACGTCTGCAGGAGCGAATGTTGCATAAATTAATTGAGAGACCGCACATTTTAATGCATTTGCTTTTAAACAACGGCCTAGTGCTGTGGTTCTCTTTTGAAATTTAATATAAAAACTTAGAGCGCCCTCTATCTGATTTATTTATAATCTTTTGTCTGAACCGGAATGTGCCAATCATGTTGGTATATTGATGCACGTGTGTTTGTGAGTGTTTCTTTCTGTATGTGTGTCTTATGCGTGCGTGTGTTATTTGTTGCATGCGTGTATGTGTTTGTGTTGGTATGTGTATGTGTGTGTTTGTATGCCTACATTTTGTTAGAATTAATACATCCATCATTGTATTTATTATTTTGGTAATTGTACTTTTTGTAGAGGTATATAATCATTGATGTTCACTACATTCACGAGTGTACGCTGTCTTCACATGCTCGTATTCGCACTAGCACCACCTACATACATACACCACCCACACACGTGTGGTGTGGTGTGGTGTGGTGTGGTGTGGTGTGGTGGGCATGTAAATGGTCAAAGAAAAAAACTTCCCACCTCACTGCACTCTTCAGCAAATAAAAAGATGTACGAAGCAACCATCGCCATGGAATGCATCTAAATGAAGGCATTATGTATGACCGTACAGTATACAAACACACAAGTGTACACACACAAGTGTACACACACATTTGAATATGTACACAAACACACACATACATACATACATACAGAAAGACATAAATACAAACATTTGCCCACTCCAGAGCCCAGATGTATATATTAATAATAAACAAGAGTTCTACATGGCACTGCGTTACGTTTATTTGTTACTAGGCGTGTTTTTTGCCTGGTGTTTGCCTCAGTTCTTTTTATAACATTTCATGGGGAGAGGTTAGTCTGTATAATAGAATGTGTATGCATCTATGTTGACGTGTATATTATTGCTGGTTTGTGTGAGTGTGAGATTGCATGTGTGTTTGTGTAATTGTGTAAGTGCGTTTGTTCGAGACGTCCTGGCATGTCATGTGTGACGATGTTTGCATTGACGCCTGTGTGTTTACACATGCATTTGTGTGCTCCTCTTGCCTTCAGGAAGGGTAAAGTTTGTTTTTATATTTGTGCAATGTAGTGTTTTTCTAAACGCGAATAGTTATGTGTGTACGATTGACGCGTTTGTGTATGCAGACATGTGCGTACGCTTTTGTATGTGCAAGTTTCAGTACGTGTTTTGGCTGTATCTACGATGCACGTACATACACGTTTATGTGATAATGTTTGTGCACGCGATAGCGTGCACACGTACGGTTGTTTTAAGATTTGCTTACGATTAATTTACTCACATCCTTAAATAATCTCCTTGAGAATTGCACCAAAATAAACAACCCTCTCGTCTCAATTCTTTAAATCATGGCAAGCCAAGCAGGATGACTGTATCTACGCTCTATATATTTACTTTCTAAATTTATTGTTTGTGTGTATGTATGTATGTATGTATGTATGTATGTATGTATGTATGTATGTATGTATGTATGTATGTATGTATGTATGTGTGTATGTATGTATGCGTGTGTGTATGTGTATGTATGTATGTGTGTGTGTGTGTGTATGTATGTGTGTGTGTGTATGTATTGTACACTTCTAGATGTTTTCGTTAATTATTATGTCTGTTACTAATTAAGTAAAGGAACTATACGTTTTTTTTATTTATTTGAATCAAAGGTCTGTTTTTGTGTTATTTGCTTGAATTATTTTCTATAAATATATTTTTGTTTGGACAAGTTAAAGAGAAAAATGTTGTTTATATCTTTAAAAAAAATAGGCGAAATTATATACATATCTTGATGGTTAAAGATTAATATAAATTATTATCGAGAATGAAATGAAATCTAAAGAAGAATTAAAATAAAATTGGACTTTGAATGAAAAATAATTTAATATATTCAAGCCACGAGGATTATAGAGGCCATTAACATCAAAAGTGCTGCATTCGTTGGATGATGATTTTATTAAGTAATGCTGATTTGGCGAGTTTGCTAATGAGTTGCGCTGCTACTGAATGAACGAGTGAATGTGTGTGTGTGTGTGTGTGTGTGTGTGTGTGTGTGGTGGGCGATTAAAGAATGAGTGAGTGAATAAATAAATGAATGAATGAAGGAATGAGTGAATGATTGATCAAGTGTTTCTGTAGTGACGTGAGTAGCAGTAGTTTAATGGTAGATATTTTTTCTTTTTAATTAGATTTTTTTGGCAGTTCAATTAACATCATAACACGCAGTGAAGTATGCGAGAACTCTACAGTACTGCTACAAAGTACAATGTCTATTAAATAACAAGAACAACTTCAAACGCTATTATGTATGCAGTACTTAACATTAGCACAAAGCACAATACACACCATGTACTACATAATACATGCTACAACATAAGTTTCAATTCGTTCAACTCAAATTAGGTTGCTCTTCAGTCAGACAAGACACAATTAGACAGAGACACTTAAGGTGATTCTTACTTAGATACTAGAATAACAAAAACACACACATACACACACCCGCACGCACATTTACACACGCACACATACACACCACACACACACACAAAACTGCCACTTAAGCAAACATATACATTATCATAAAATTTACGCATACATCACACGCACAGGTATGCATGCCATCAAGCACACACACACACACACGCACATCACGCACACACACACACACACACACATGCAAGCACCATATCCACATGTTTTTGGTACAGCGGGAATTTAAATTTCGATTATAAAATGAAAGATAAAATTATTACCACCACCATCATCTTCATTTTTGATGAGTTATTTTTTTCAAGTTTTACTGAAAAATTTTAAATTTAAAAGATTTTCTCAATTTTAAAATATAATTTTTTTTATTAAAATTTTAATTTACTGAAATAATTTAAAAAATATATATTTAAATATTTAATGCACGGTATATTGGAAAAAAATATCTACAGCGCCAATTCAGCAGATGAAAAACGAATGAATGATTAAATGAATGAATATGTAAATGAATGAATGAATTAGTGAATGAATAAATTATTGACTGATTGCATGAATGAATGTATTAGTGAATAAAAGAACAAAAATATCGATTAACAACAGATAAATAATTATGTGCATAAATGGAAGACGAATTATTGAATGGATGGACCATATGTGAATGAATAAATAGACGAATGGATGGATAAAAGAAGAATAAATAAATGAATGAAGAAACGAATGAATGATTGAAGAAACGAACGAACGAACGAACGA